AGCTTCGACAGAAAAAAAATCGTGAAACTTTCCTGAAAACCTAAACCGCCACAACCGCGGTCGCTTAATAAGCTCAATTTATCTCTTGCAGTTAAACAAGTTAAAACAATTCGGAAACTTTTTGGGGCCAAATTACTGATTCGATTAGTAACGGTGGTATTTTGAAATTAATTCAACTTCTGTTCGGACGAAAGTTTATTGAATACTTTCCTATCGATTTTAAATTCACTTATAATACAAATTAGCCAAAAGTTTTTTTAATTTTGTGATTTTTTTTAATTTAAATGAATTTACATTTTATTAAATATTTTTTTTCTTTTACAGATACTGCGTTGAATTTGAAATTTTAAAAGCTTCCAAAGCTTGCAGAAAAGACGAAAACTACAGTGCGTTGAAGGATGGTAAGAATAAAGATAAAATTTGTTTTATTTTTAATATCCAAAAAATCCAACAATAATAAACTTTTTAATCTAATTGATCTTGCAGTTATGACGTTTAAACACACCCTGAATTTCCAATTTTTGAAAATTTTTGTTTATTTCAAAAATTTTGTAAATTTTAAGAATTTTGTAAATTTTGAAAGTTTCCAATTTTTTTAAATTTATGATGTAAAAATTTTTGTTTATTTCATAATTTTTGTAAATTTTGAGAATTTTCCTAGATTTTAAGAATATTGTAAATTTTAAAAAATTTGTAAATTTTAAAAAATTTGTAAATTTTGAGAGTTTGTAAATTTTAAAAATTTTGGAAATTATCTAAATTTTGAGAATTTGTAAATTTAGTAAATTTTAAAAAAATTGATAATTTTTGTAAATTTTGGACATTATCTAAATGTTGTAAATTATTTAAAATTTGGAAATTTTGAGAATTTGTTAATTTTCAAAATTTTTTAAATTTTAAAATTTTGGAAATTTTGAAGATTTTGGAAATTTTAAGAATTTTGTAAATTTTAAAAAATTTGAAAATTTTGAAAAATTTTTGTTTATTTCATAATTTTTGTAAATTTTGATAATTTTCCAAATTTTAAGAAAATGTAAATTTTAATAAATTTGTAAATTTTAATAAATTTGTAAATATTTGTAAATTTTGAGATTTTGTAAATTTAAAAAATTTTGGAAATTATCTAAATTTTAAGAATTTGAAAATTTTTAAAACTGGAAATTTTAGAAATTTCAAGAATTTTGTAAATTTTAAAAATTTTGGAAATTTTTCAACCCAATTGATCTTGCAGTTATGACGTTTGTACACACCCTAGATTTTGAATTTTTTTAGAATTTTTGTAAATTTTAGAAATTTTAAGAATTTTGAAAATTTTAAAAAATTTGGAAATTTTGAGAAATTTTTGTTTATTTCATAATTTTTGTAAATTTTTTAAGAATTTTTGTAAGTTTTAATAATTTTGTAAATTTTAGAAAAATTTGGAAATTTTTAAATTTTAAAAATTTTTGGAAATTATTTAAATTTTGTAAATTTTAAGAATTTGTTAATTTTCAAAACTTTAAATTTTGGAAATTTTCAAGATTTTGGAAATTTAAAAAATTTTGTAAATTTAAAAAATTTTGGAAATTTTGAGAAATTTTTTTTGTTTATTTCATATTTTTGTAAATTTTAAGAATTTGTTAATTTTTAAAAATTTGGAAATAATCAAGACTGGTAATTTTAAAATTTTGGATATTTTAAACAAATTTAAATTTTGAAAATTTTTAATACCTTTTGTGAATTTAAAAAAAATGTTTGTAAAATTTCAGAATTTGTAAATAAAAGGGACGTCATTACGTCACTTCCGTTTCCTGCCTAAATTTTACGCGTTAAAACAAGTAAATCTTTAATAATATCATTTTTAATTTTGTTTAGGGGACAGAGTTTGCGTACGCTGCGAATCGGAAGCCCTCCACGAAAATTTGGGCTGGAGATGTCAGGGGCACGGGGTCCAGGGCCGTATCACGCGCTGGTCCGCGCTGTCGGCGCCCCACTGTCACGGAAAATGGCTGAGGGCCCAAAGTCAACCGGACCGGACCTGTTCCACGACCACATGCAAGCAAGGCGCCCCCTTTATTTTCATCTAATAACTTCAGCATTGGCCAACGACGGTTTTATGAAATTCCGTTTGCAATATCAAAATCGTAGTTTTAGGACACGCAGTTTTTTCTTAAACTTACAACAGGATTTTGTAACGCCCTGTATGAGAAATCACAACATTTTAGGACGTTTTATTTTTAACTATTAAACCCTTTATTAATTATTTACTCAGCAACCTGTTCCGTATAAATTGAATATTTATTTCTATACTAAATCGGAATATTTACAATCAGTTATTGGTTATTTACATTTCCACAATGTTTATTTTAATTATATTTGTAAACAATTTATTAAATCAGACTTATTGAAGCTTTAAAGTTATTTTAACCGAAAATTTGGGTTAAAATAACTTTACAACTTAAATTATCTTTCCAATGAAGCCAATACTACGGCCATTACCATGATTTTTATTTGTTTAGTTTTATTTTAAAGTTGTTTTATGCTAAATATGCAAAATATCATGTTTGACACTTTAATTTTGTTTCTATATTTTGTACGACTGATTTTCACCTTTTCTATGTTTTTATGTGTTTAGTTTGTAAGTTGTTTTGCAATATATTGTGCAATTAACATTTTTTAATAGTTTTCTTACTAAACAAAAAATTATAATCCTAGATTTTAGATTGTAACTATTAAAATAAAAAATGTGAATATAAGTCGTTTTTTCGCGTAAATACCATGAAATACTATGGTCATTAAACTTAACCTTGGTTAATGGTTAAGGCATTTTTGCGTTTAGAGTGCGTTCAAAAATCCTAACTATGACGTCACAAATACCAGACCATAAAACTATATCGCTGAGCTAGTTATTCAACGTGGTTAATAGTCTTTCTCTTTTTAATATATATATTTAATATGTGTATGTAGGAATAATGTTGTGTGCTAAACATATCTTCTCCAAAACATACCGCCAACCTTCGTCTTTTTCTTTGGGGTCCCATTCTAAATTTTGAGTTTCACAATAATAATTTTCGTATAAACCTTAAACACTGTTGGATTTTAGTTATGGTAAACAACAGTGAAGAACTCTTTATATATAAAAAGAGGTATAGAAAAGGTAGGTACCTACCTATAAGAACTAGGGTTCATAGAAAAAGAATATACAAGGTAAAAGAAGAGGCAAAGAAATTTATTTACACCTGTAAAAGCATAGAAATTAAATATAAATAGGTAAAAACACATTTCAAAAATTATAGGTTATGAACAAGTAAACAAATGTCAAATGTTAGAAACCTAACCATGGTTATATGAATTAACTGTGACGTCATGACTTATTTAACCGTAGTATTTCATAGTATTTACGCGAAAAAACGACTATAGTTTTATTAAAAATTTGGACCATTTATCATATTAATGCTATAATTTTCAAAAATATTCATCAAAAGTTGACAAAGTTAAAACTTTAAACTTAAAACTATATTCACTAACAAACTTAATTGTTAAAAATTAAAATTAGTATTAAACTATTAATATTTTTACTATAGTCGTTTTTTCGCGTAAATACTATGTAATACTACGGTTAAATAAGTCATGACGTCACAGTTAATTCATATAACCATGGTTAGGTTTCTAACATTTGACATTTGTTTACTTGTTCATAACCTATAATTTTTGAAATGTGTTTTTACCTATTTATATTTAATTTCTATGCTTTTACCGGTGTAAATAAATTTCTTTGCCTCTTTTTATACCTAGTATATTCTTTTTCTATAGGTACTAGTTTTTTTAATACACGTTATCCAATTCTCCTACATGTTTAATACAAAATAAGGAAGAATATAAAAAAACCTGCATATAATTCCTCCACTTGTGGAGATTCACAATATGGAGCACCCTATCATTTATTTTTACTGACAACACCCCGTTTACCATTTTAATACAAAGTTTAAATTCGGTTTAAGAGCAATTGTACCTATAGGTATACTTAAAATATTTTAAATTTCAAATGTAAACAACTTCTTGACAGATCGAAACAGAGAAAAATATATATTAAAAAGAGAAAGACTATTAACCACGTTGAATAACTAGCTCAGCGATATAGTTTTATGGTCTGGTATTTGTGACGTCATAGTTAGGATTTTTGAACGCACTCTAAACGCAAAAATGCCTTAACTATTAACCACGGTTAAGTTTAATAACCATAGTATTTCATGGTATTTACGCGAAAAAACGACTTATACTTAACTATAATAATATGTAATGATAAATAAACAATGTAAATATTAAGAAATCCCTTTGTAGTTTATACCTATATTTTGTCAAACATATCAAAATCATTCAATGTTGAATCAAATAAATAAAAACCTGAAGAATAAAAATGGCTTTTTCTTAAAGTACCTACCTTACCAAGTTTTGCAATATATTGTGCAATTAATATTTTTTTAATAGTTTTCTTACTAAACAAAAAATTTTAATCCTAGATTTTCCATTGTAACTACTTAATAAAATAAATAATGTAAATAGTTTTATTAAAAATTTGAACCATTTATTCTAAAACTATAATTTTCAAAAAAATTCATAAAAAACATAATTGTTAAAAATTAAAATTAGCTAATTTTAATACTAGTATTAAACTATTAATAATTTTACTATTCTTAACTATAATAATAATAATAAATAAACAGTGTAAATATTAAGAAATCCGTTTGTAGATTGTACCTACCTATATTTTGTCAAACATATCAAAATCATTCAATGTTGAATCAAATAAATAAAAACCTGAAGAATAAAAATGCATTTTGCTTTTACCATCTTATCATAGGCGTTACATTACACGTATGTGTAATCTGGGTTGCATACGCGAAGTAACCAATGTTGCCAAATATACACACGACAACACTGCTTTTTAGGTTATGTTATTGTTAACAACTGTCAGTTTAAGGAAATTTACTGTTAATTATTAAAGAATAATGTGATTTACAATGCGTATGGATAGTGTGATTGCTATAAATAATTACAGTGAAAAAAATGTGAATAAAAATGGATTTTTCGGTAAATTAGGGTCGCGTATATGGAATTTGCCCCTTTGGAGGTTTATCGCGATATTAATTTCGTTAATTTTGACTGTTTTTGTGGTGATTTTATGCAAGACTTACATAAAGTTTATTTTATTATGGCTGGAAAACCAAGATCCTTTAGTTATAGCTGTCGTAATAGTTGTATTGTTTAACATTGTAGCACTACCTATAAGTATCGGTTACATTATTCTTGTGATATCATGTGGATATTTATTCGGGATATTCAAAGGCCTACTGCTGACTGTATTTGGTGCCAATTTTGGGCTCTTTGTAGCCCACAACATACTAAAAGTCGTAGGAAATTACAAAAGCATATATCGATATACAAACAATGAAACAGCCCAGGCTATTATGAGAGTTATAAACGGACCGCTATGTTTTAAAATCGTATTTTGTTCAAGACTCACCCCTATACCCTTTGGACTTCAAAATACTATATTTGCTGTAAGTATTTTCAATAGTTGTAGGTACATACAGTCCACAAATGGGGTTACAAAGAAGAAAGAAAATTTCATTCTTGATCATTACGACCAGAATATGAAACCCATTATTTTTATTGTCTATGGTTAATTTGCAATCTTGATTTTTCTGAAAGTTTTGGACTGGAAATTGTTTGATAAAAATCTTTTTGGTCAGTTTTGATTCCTTTGTCATATTCTTTAGAACAAATGAATTTTATCATCACAGTAGATAAAAATCTCTCGAGAAATCTCCATGGATGTCAAGTATAAAAAATGCTTGAAACGACGATAAAATTATATTTTTGGCGATACATTAGAAAGTAAAAGCTTTAAACATGTCAATAAAAACGATTTCTTTTGAGAAATTAAAAATGAATATTGCAAATTAACCATAGACAATAAAAGTAATAGGTTACATATTTGGGAGGTTTTAAATCAAGGAAAAACTTTTATAAAGAATGAAATTTTCTGAGAAATGTAAAATATTTTTTCCCTCTTTGTAACCCCATGAAAGGACATACTGTCATACTGACATACCCCAGAAACTATGGGAGCCACAAATTTGTGGGGTACACATTTTATATAACATTCTGTATTTTTTGTTTTTTTAAATGAAAAAAACAATTTTTTGAGCGTTTTTTGTTACCTACAACATTTTTATATCTGTTTTTCAGCTAAGCAACGTTTCTGGAAGAGTCTACCATTTGGCATCACTGCTGGGGTTGTTCCCAGCTCAATTAATATCAGTTTATGTAGGAACAACACTTAGATCAATGCATGATGTTTTAGAAAACAACCAAATTTCTACAACAACTTATTTTATTGTGATTATACAGGTGATTATAGAGTACCTTTAAAAATAGGATTTAAAAATATAATAAAAATAATAAAAATTTCATATTACACTTCGTATAAATGTAGGCAACACAAAGTCCCACCACGTGACCAAGTACGGAACGCAGTTTTTAGAAAATTTGGCATTTAAGGCTTTTCAGGTTATGTATATGTCAAATTATAGTCAATGAAAGAAATAATATTTATAGTGTTACCGCTTATGTTTAAGCGTTAAAAGTTAATAAATCTTTATAGTATCACAATAACAATGGTTGGTTTAAGAAATTAGGAATATAAATACTGCATTTAATGAAATTCCAAAGTGTAAGGTGCAATATAAGTGATATTTTTGTGCATTGGGTCCACATTTCTCCATAAAATAGTTTTAACTAACAGCATTTATTAAAAAAAATCTAACTTCTCTATTATGAAATAAGAATATCTGTATCAAAGGTAGGTTAATGTATTAGAATAAAAAATATCATCTAATTTTGTATTTTAAGGTTAGAAAAATCTATTTTGACCAAAATAAATAAGTGGATTATTTGGAAGAGTGTGTTAATATGGTCATAAATAAATATAGGTATACTAAATAATTGTTAAATATGGTTCAAATTAATGAAGCTTTTATACTTCTAACGACAAAACTTGTGCATACCTCTCGGCATACTTACTTTAAGTTAGATTATAAGAAAACAAACAATTTTTAGAGAAACTTGAAATGTGACATCTGATTTATTAAAATTTTTAAAGTTATAATGATTTTTTGTTGTAGATCAAATTTAGTCGAAGCTTTTTAACTATTTGTATTGACAAAACTTTTTGTAGGTACACTTTAAGCTGGATAAGAAAAACGACCACATTTTTAAATACCATATTATACAGTCTTTTAAATAATCCAAAATACTTATTTATTTTGGTCAAAATAAATTTTTCTAACCTTAAAATTACAAAATTAGATGATATTTTTGTTATAATTTATTAACCTACCTTTAAAACAGATATTCTTATTCCATAATAGACAAGCTAGATTTTTTTTAATAAATGCTGTTTAGTTAAAATTATTTTATGGAGAAAACCAGATATTTCGACGAAGTGCACAAAAATATTACTTATTTGGCACCATTAAATGCAGTATTTATATTCTTAAATTCTTAAACCATCCATTGTTATTGTAATGTTATAAAGATTTATACATTTTTAACGCCTAAACATAATATTATTTCTTTCGTTGACAGATACATAACCTGAAAAGCCTTGAATGCCAAATTTTCAAAAGACTGCGTTCCGTACGTGGTCACGGGGTGGGACTTTGAGGTGTGGAGCATAGTACATCCAATTGACATTTAGTCATTTTTGAGTTGTTTTTAGATAGGTTTAATTAAAAATGTCGTTTAATCCACAAAATAATGAAATATACTAATTGTTTTATTTCAGTTGTTGTTTGGTATTTCTTTAATCATCTGGATTGGTTCAAAGGCAAGAAATGAACTACTAAAGGCGCTGTCAGAGGCTGAGGAGTCTTCCTCCATGAACGGAAACAACTTTTCTTCCATTGTTTAATGTAGTAATAATAATAATAATCTAAGTCAAATGGACCATTTTTATACAGAAAAATCTATCAAATATATGCCAAAGATATTTATTATTTTTCTAATCTCATTAGTCTTCTATAAGTATTATAATATAATATAATAATATTATTACCTACTAAGAAGTCTTTTCCAATATATAGTCATTGATATTAGATGGAAATGAATGTGGGTATAGATTTGTGCCCTGTGGTACACCCATAATAACTTTTACAGGGTGGTTTTTATCGTTTGTGACACTTATTGTATGCATTTTATTAACGGTTTTACCTACTATGAAATTACATTACATATTTATTATTGTTTGGAAAATAAAGTACCTAAGTAATAATTTTTAGAATATCGTTTTATTATATTATCATGTATTAAGATAAACCCTAATATGTAAAATATGCATTTACTTACCCAAAATTACATCTGAATTTCAGATTCTGAAACGAATAAAGAATATTAAAAAAGTTCGATAAACTTTATCCCGGCACCTTCGCCATTATTGATAATTTTGCCAAAAATGGTGAATGCCCTTAACATAAATGTTTTGTTATGTAAACATACTGTTTTTAATATTTCAAAGAAGTGTCCATGTAATTAAACTAGTTAAATTAATTTAAGTGACTAAGCGTTTGAAGTTTATTGAATAAACTGTACCTACCAATTTCGTTTGATGTGCATGATGCCCAGGGCATCTTAAAATATTTACATTTTATTTTTTTATCTCAAGTCTACTTGCAAACTTTTCACTTTTGCTGAATAGTTATTGCAAAATTGTAGATGTAATACTAGATATACACTACATCTTGCGAAAATTGTTGATTTTACTTAATATTATAACTAAAATTTTCAAAAAATTGACTTACACCATATGGTTAATTTGTGAAAAGACTGGATTTGTAAAGACTAAATTTGTAGACTACATTTGTATAAAAATTATTCTTAATTTTATTTGGAATTCCAAATTGGAATTGTTCTTAAGATCAACGAGTTAATGCAATAATGCAATTATATCTAAGGGTCTTCAGGAAATAACTGAAGACAATTAAAGATAATTACTAATGCAAGTCCAAAATTCACCTGTTAATCATGCCCAGAAAAATTTCTTCAACCATCACATGTGCTGGCTATATGAACCTCAATTGATGACGCAAATGATGCATATATGTGACATACGTGCGGATTAAGAATCACGTTGTGACTGCAATATGCGTAAATTATGAACCTCGCAATGTTTCTCCAACCATCACATGTGCTGCCTATATGAACCTCAATTGACGACGCAAATGATGCATATATGCGTGCATACGTGCGGATTACAATCACGTTGTGACCGCAATATGCGTCAATTATAAACCTCATAATGTTATCTGGGTTATTTTTAGAAGTTTAAAAGCATAATTAGCTACATTTTAATTACTTAAAACCTTTAAAACGTTTTGGCGATGTAGCAATGCATAACCAAGACGTTTTAAATAGGTAGTCTTTAACATCTTAAAGACATCACAAAGTATTAAACATTCTTACACGGGAAAGGTTAAAGGTACAATAGTGACAGTTGTATTTATTGGAATTCTCGTTAGAATTGAAGAACTTGAGAATCAACCGGCGTTAAAATATTAAATTTGTCTGTGTACATCAAAATTTATCCCTTAAAAATAGACTAACAATCGATATACGAGGTGTGTTCAGAAAATAACGGAAATTGTTAAATTTCGCGGGTTCGGAGGGTACGGTTGTCATAAAATTTTCTTTATTATGTTGGTATATATGCCCCCGAAGTATGATAAAATTTTTAGCGGTTTTCATTGTTTACTTTGTCTGTGGCAGCCGCTAAGGTTAGACGTGTTTTATGAGCTCGGCGATTTTTCGTTCGTTAAAAGAAATGGATCAAAGAATTTGTATCCAATTTTGCTTAAAAAGTGAAATAAATTCTGTGTAATGTTAACAAAGGCCTATAGTTAGTCTGCTATAAGTAAAACAAGAGTTTACAAGTGGTATAAGAGTTTCCAAGATGGCCGTGAAGACGTTGAAGATGACGAACGCCCCGAACGCACAAGCGCATTAACAACCGATAAAAACATGGAAAAAGTGGAAGAAATGGTTATAAACCATCAGAGCTCTAGAAGTCGCTGATGATGTTGGTATATCGATTGGCTCATCCCATGAAATTTTTTCGAATGTTTTGGGTATGAAACGCGTGGCAGCAAAATTTGTTCTAAAATTGTTAAATTTTGAACAAAATTTTTGGCCAAAAACAATACTGTAATGATACCCCAGCCTCCATATTCGCCAGACATGCCTCTGTCTGCCTTTTTCCTATTCCCAAAAATAAAGAGAACCTTAAAGGGCCGTCGTTTTGCAAGCATAGATGACATTAAAAGCGCATCGCTGAAAGAACTAAAGGCTATCCCAAAGATCGAGTTTTAGAAGTGTTTCGAGTATTGGAAGAAGAGCTGGCACATGTGCATAATATCCAATGGGGACTATTTTGAAGACGAATAAATAAATATTTGTTTCAAAAAACGAAAATTCCCGATATTTTCTGAACACACCTCGTAGAAGCAGTTTTTCACAGTTAAAGAGAAGAGAATGTTTAACGCTTTATCAGTTAAATCTAGTAAACTGCACTACTACGGCAAAATCAAACGTATATATAATTTTTTTAAATATTGGCGTGAAGAAACTATTTATTAATTTTGTATTTTTGTGTATTTAGTATTATTTCACAAGAAAGGCACTTTATTTTAACGATTGTATGACATTTGACAACTGTCAACTAACTTAAAACTAACTTCAGCCCGTGACTAAAGCGCCATAAAGCCACAACTTGTCAATATGTATTTAAAAGGTCAATTAGTATCATGGAAACATGTACGATAATGGGCGTTTTAAAGGTGGAAGTAGAAAAAGTTATAAACGAAAATTGTAGAAATAGAACATTTTATAAATTTGGAAGACCGAAACACCCTGTATATAATTATCATAAACTCTATTTACATCTAAAAATAAACATCATTGCAAATACCAGGCATGAATTATTCTTAAAACTACAACGAAACAAAAACAAAAAATTAAATAAATCGTTAAATCGACCTGCTAATGTATCATGAATGAAAATCTAGGCGTCTGCGCCCACCTCGCGCCACCGATATTCACACAGTATCGATTTGACCGACTTGCCTGCAACATGCCCCGTATCGCTGCCGAAAGTTCCTGAAAAACGGCCTCGCTACCGAAAAACGGGCGGAAAAGTGCGTGGCGAGGAAAACTATTAGCGAACGCTCGAAAATGTCGACATGTGCGACGTCGGGGAAAAAAGCCTCTCTTGCGTGGCTTCTGCTCGGTGCGGTTTTGTTTTTGGGGTGTCAAGTGGGTTCAGCTCAGGAGGAGTACAAGGATACTAAACAACACCCCGAGTTGTCCAAGTTGTGAGTAAAATGCGAGAAATATTATTGTTAATTATCGTAAAATATTGTATTTAAAAACTAAATATTAATAATATAAAAAAGTTAAATAGAAAAATTTTACTTGGTGCTTGCTAGGTCATTTTAAAAAGTATTTAGCAAATACTATAAAAATATGTAGTAGGTATTGTCAAAAAACAAAACTTAATTAGTTCCAAAATTGTGTTCTACCAAATATTAATTCATTCAATAAAACTTGATAGCTTTATATTTATTTTTTGAACACTAAGAAGTTTATTTCGTTTTTTGCTTGAATGAAGTGACTTTCTTATAATTTTATTATTTTATTTAAAAAAATTAAGTTTACCTTATAAATGATTTCATGCCAAAATAATTTTATTGACATAACTGACGTAAAAATCCCTTTTTCAACAGTCAATTAAAAAAACATGCTACTTGAGAAAAGTTGCGAATACTTTTTTTCGGCGCCAATAGGACATTTGACATTTATTTACAGTTTTAAGTATTTTTAAATTTTTTATCAGTATTGCTTTGAATAAACCAAGGAATTTCAGTTTTTTTCAATTTTAGACATTTAAAAAACTTAAAGGATGTTTTTTTTATTTTTGTAACTTTTTAAAACCCTACTACTTTTTTTCTCTTCCTTCAACCAAAATTTGATTTAAAAAACGTATTAACTCATAAAAAAATCGTGCTATGATACTAAAATTAACCTACCTATCTATCACAAAACTTTTTTTGTATTTATTTAAATATTTTTTGCGTTTTTTTTTAAATTCTTGAAATTTTGTGCATGGTGTTCCGCTTAAAATTGACCCCCTCATTATTTTCTTATTCTCATAATATTTTTGTCTATCAAAAACTTTTCTTGAATAATTTTTTATGAATTTTTTGAATATGAGATCAGAAAATACGTAAGTGCAAAAATTTCCATGTAAAATTGACTCCGAAAATGTCGCTACAAGTTTTTGAGATATAGTCAATTTTCCAAATAATATGGAATTATCTAGTTACTAGGTATATCTCAAAAACTGATCTACTTTCATAATTTTCGGATTCAGGGGACAATTTCACATAAAAATTGGCTGTTAAATTTTGGGGATACCATAGTATCCCATGCATGGTTAACCATGGTATAAGTGAAAAAGCAACCAATAATAACTGTAGTAACTAATTCATTTTAAGAGGGCAGTAAATCTAGAGCAGAATAAGCAAGTAATAAAATTGCTGCTTCAGAATCCGCATTTTTATCAGATTAATAAAAAAACATTACACCTTTTGCAAAAAATACCACATTTTTATTATATCTGTGACAACAAAATTTGTTATCATCCAAAATATCTTGTGTTGCCATGGTAGCCATGGGCTCCACCAAAAATAAAATCATGGGGGGCAATAATAATAATAATATTAATAATAATAAACTTTTAATTCAACCTTCTTCCAAATTTTTCAGTCACAGGTTTTGACCGACAAAAATATTTTTACTAAGAATAGGAAAAATAATAGGGGGTTAACTATAAGGGGGACACTCTGTACACAATGGTTCTACATACGTAAATGCTATTTTTGCCTTTATTTTTATTTATCAGAATTTTATATGTGTTCCCTTTATACGAATTAAGATAATTTGAAATATTGAAATAATAATAGAAAAATTGATTTATAAAAAAATAATGTTGAATAAAATCTAGGTGCAGGGTGCACCAAGGATCCTTCTATCGTTTTATTTAAAGGTCGGTTAAATTAGAAAAAAGTTGCGTAATGACAAACCTATAGAAATAAAATTAAATTTTTTAATTAAAAAAAGATGTTTAATAAACTAAAAGTCTTTTAAAACCAAAAATTGTTATAACTTCATTATTTCTAGTAATTTTGAAAAAAGCAAGTTTTACATGTAAAAATACCCATTAATCTAGATTTTAAAATTCCATATTTTCGGCCATAGGAAAAACGAAAGGTGGTGGTAGTTACTTAAAATCTAGTGGGCAAAATAAATTAGAAATTGGATGAAAATGTATACATAATATGTATTACATATACATATGAAACATTTGTTTGCGCCTTACCCCTGTAAAATTATTATTTATTGTGCGATCTAAACCATATTTGTTTTATGGTGGACATCTTGATAAACTGAATTTTTGGAAAAACCCCATATTTTTAAATACATAGTTTTTAAATATGTAGTTTTTAAAATTACATTTTTAAGAATTCATATTAGCGATTTAAACAAAAAATCTATGCACGGCACTGAATTCACTACCCCTCAAAACGACCCTATACTAAATTTTATTGAAAATTTTTAAGTAAGCCGAATTAAAAATGACTATATACAAAAATTTATTTTGTCAAGTTATCCATGAAAAAAAAACATTGAAATAAAATGAAACTAATGATAATATGGTATAAATATTTCTATGCTTAGTTTTGACGAATAAAAACGCAACAGAAACTTAAAACAACAATAAAACAAAAAATAGAGAATTCAAAAAATTATCTACAGTAGAGGTGACGAAAGTCTAATTGTAGACTACAATTAGACTTTCGTCACCTCTACTGCACAAGAACTAATTAGTTCCTAATTAGCCTTAAGGCTAGGGTAATACAAGCCTGCGCAGCCTTTATAAAGTATACTCCTGCAGAAGAAATATAAAAGTGGATTGAAATAAATGGTGAACTAGTAGTGACGAAAATCTAATTGTAGAGAATTTTTGGAATTCTCTACTTTTTGTTTCATTGCTGTTTTTTATTTGTTAAAACTAAGAATGAGAATATTTATACCATGTTACTATTAGTTTAATTTTATTTTTTGTTTGGAAATAATTTTTTGTAAATAGTAAATATTGTGCATTTTTAATTTAGCTACAAAATCGTCCCCACTTACAAATTTTCAATAAAATTTAGAATAGGGTAGTTTTGAGAGGTGGTGAAGCCAGATGAAATTTTTTTTAAATCGCTAATATAAATTCTTAAATATTTACTCTCAAAAACTAACAAATACAAGGCCTTATTTTGTAGAAATATAAGTAGTTTTTTATGCTCCAAAAATACAGTTGATCTAGATCTACACTTTAAAACAAATCCGGTTAAAATCGCACAATAAATAAAAAATTTACATGGGTGACTTGCAAACAAATGGGCCACACTTTATAAATGTGTATGTTTAATAAAAAAGGTATAACGATTTTTTGACAGGTCTTTACTACATTGCATTTTTAAAATAATTCTAAAAGCTATTTTTGTGTTTTATCAAAACAATTAATAAGATTTATTTATTCACACTTAATTTAGTGATTGTATATTTTAGTAAAATTGTAAATATTTACGGTAATTTTTAGAATTCATTTGTTTTAAAATGCCTTAAGTTTTGTTTTATTGACTAGGAATTTTTTGTGTAATTTTTAATATTAATAATATTTTAGGGTTAGGAACTGGGCCCAAAAATTGGGGGGTGAACTGTGGCACTTTGGAGATTTTGTTACTAGAAGATCCAAGGTTATAGATGTAAGAATTTTCACCGAAAAATGTTAAAAAAATAAATAAAAGCTAAACCTGTATTTTTTAGAGTTATAAAGACACTAATGTAATGAGGGAAGATGGGGAAGCTCTACTCAAAGATATACACGAAAAAATATCAGAAATGATGAAGCAAAAAGTTAAGGCAGTAGAGGTAAGTGTCTAAGTAGAACTTATTTACACACAATAACAAATCGCTAAAAAAAAATTGCGCCTAGTTTCTTCATTTTATTAAAATTGCAAGCCGCAATTTGGGTGATTACTAAAAAAATAAATTGCTCTTTAAATTTTTTATTACCAAAATTGTATCACTTTTGACGTTTCTTTGAATTAAAACTTTGAAATCTATATTAACGGAACCGTATACTTTTGTTTTCACACATTAATTTCATCACTGTAACTTCAACCTCTTATCGCCCCTTATTTTTTTTCAAAACTTCTTTAAAATGCCGTTTCGTTTTTTAAATTTTAGCTACGTGTCGCCGAGCAATGGAATTCCGAACATTTTACTGGACCGCTTATTTACAAACTTTGTAAAGCAAAAAATTCGTTGAAAAAATTGTTTTTAAACTAACAAATATCAGTCGACAATTCAACTTTATCTTCAGTAAAGTAGTTGATGTGGATGGTTCATTATTTCTGTGCTTTTATTTTCTTTCGATTCGATACAAAATTATTAAATTTTATTTTATAAACAACCAAGAGAGAGGGGAACGGCAACTTTGTTTAATGAGAGGCATGCACATAGACACATCCATCATGGTTACATCCAGTGGCGTACCTATAGAAATGGGGGCCCCAGTCGGATTCTCACTAGGGGGCCCTTACCAGGAAAATTTTTTGAATCATTTAAAGTTTTATATTTTTTTTTCACGAAAAACATTTTATTTTTATGGTTTAATACTCAAATCAGATCGAAGTTTTCGAATTTGAGAGTTTGAATCTTGATTTTTTTATCCAAATTGTAAATGTGAAATCGAAAATTTCTTATTTTAGATTGCAAATTTTTCATTTTTATTTTTTCATCTCTGAATTTCTATTTTTGACTAAGAATGTATATATCTTATTCAAAATTTCCGACTTGTGAAGAATTCGATTTCGAGATTATGATTCTGGATTTGTAATTTCAATTAACTTATGTTTATTTCAAAATATTTAATTTCAAATTTGAAAAAAAAGAACACAATAGAAATATAATATCAAGCAGGCAACGAATATTTATTACTACAAAAAACAATTTTTTTTTCATAATCAACATTTTTCTTTTATTTAGATTTAAAAAAATTCTCTTGCCACTTCTGGGAACCCCCTGGTGCACGGGGCCCCGGTCTGTAAAACCGGTAGAACCGGTGGTAGTTACGCCACTGGTTACATCCAAAGTTATAATTACTAGCAAAACTGGTTCAGAGGCAAATAAAAACAAGAAATTGCAAATCCGGTTTATTTTTTCTTAATGACATTGTCAATCGTCATATTTTTCAACCCAGCGCTGATTGAAATTACAGAAAACGACCAACGTTAAGAAGAAAATCCGATATTTTAGAAAGACGGGGCTCATTTCCATTATGCATTACCTGTAGGGCAGTTTCTGAATGAAACTTGGGAGAACCCAGTACTTTTTTTAGATTGATAAAATGCCCAAAACACGAACAAAAATCAATTGTTTATAAAAATGTGATAAATTATTAAAAAAATTAAGTTTTTGGAAATTTAAGAACAATTTTCCCTAGTCAATTTCTTTACGTTCGATATGCTAGTTTCATCATCGGTTCAAGAACTATACGTATACGTTTTGTTATAAAAGTTACCAACAATTTCATTTGACAATAACTTAAATTAAATTTTGTTTTTATGGTCAAATAGAACGAATTTTTAAGATTTATTGATAAAAATATTTCTCTTAGTGTGGATTTTAAGAGGAAGTACAAACTTTAATAGATTTTTTAGATCGTGAATATATCCACCACGAAATCTGGGAGTGGAATACATGCATGCAGTCTTTGTTAGATATTTAGACAGATTACAATTAAAAATATTCATTTCATACTTCGGTTATTATAAGCCTATTGTTTCGTGCCTGGAGTGTGAATCTTGCGAAATTACAGGATAATATTATAGTAAAATTAAATACTCAATGAATGGGAAATGGGCCAAATTTGATATAACTTTTTAAATAATAATACATGTACAAATTTTTCAACAAATATAACCAATTTTTTATTATGATTGTAAATACTGCGGAGAAGTTTCACTTCTATAGCGTAAGTACTCGTGTATTTTATATTTTTATTTTATTTTAGAGAATTATGGATGTGGCAGAAAATGCGGCAAAACATCAAAAAGACGACGATGTCGACGTAAACCACGTTTACTACAACGCTAAGAATTTAACTAACACAGTGCCGGAACCTGGCGAAGAAGAAGTCACCAAACCGGTAAATACAACCAATAAAAATCACCAAACATTTTATCACGAAAAAACACTTTCAGCCCGTAAGCGCGGATGCAGAAGAGCTCAGATCTGAAAACCTGATAACAAACGCCGAAGAAAAATACCAACGAATGATCGCAGAAGAAAATTACGGCTATCAGCAAGATCAAGACCAAGACCCGATTTCCATAGAAGATACATCGAAAGATGAATTTCCCGAAGTCGAAATAGATCTAGAGGTTTAATAATTATTATAAATGTTAAAGTTTCTTGTAAACACCCTGTATATTTTTAGGTTACTGATGATACAGAGAAAGATCCTCAAGCAAGTCAAACTCAACCAAAAGATAGAACAAAATTGCCCTTGTATAGAAATCGGCATTTTTACAACATTCCAGTGAATACGAATTATAGTGCTGTTCATGTGCCTAGCAACGTATATGATAGAGGTAAATATCTCAAAATATTTCAATTTAGATAATTGAGGGCAATTTTGCTTAGCAGGGCAGCTGCACCTATACCCCTTTTATTCTAAGGCCCTCAATTATAATTACAATAAAATTATGAAATTTTTAAAAATCGCTTAATAAATTTGAACAAAAAAATCACTAATAACACTAGTTTACAAAATCGAAAAAAAATTCTGCCCATCGTATCCCATTATAATTTTTCCATGTATTTTGACCCACTAAACACGAAAATCACACTCAATTTTTTTTATGGAAGCGTTTTTAAAATATGTATTTTTAATTGTTTTTTTTTTCAATTTTCGGAGGTGTTTTGACGTTTTTGAGTATAGCTTAAAATCTAATTGATCGATTTGGTCAAACAAGCCCTTAAATTGAAGGTATTTGAGAAAATAAAAAAAATCGTTTTATGGCAAAAATCGAGGTCGAAAATTTACATATCGTCCTGGGAAGGGTTTAAATCAAACAGACAACTCCAGTTTGTGTAAAATGAGTAAAAAAAGTAGAGTTCGAGTGCGTAAATAACCAGGACAATCTGGTTGATGTAAGTGATGAGCACGGAGAACGTTTTCACCAGCAAATGAAGGCTATGGAGCGGCGGTATCACGGCTTTTGGGATACAGCCATGATGGGTGATTACATTTGGTCCCTCATACGAGAAACGGAATACGAAGCAACAAAAAACAAAGAAAGGGCCAGAATTTTTTTAAACCTATGGTTATTAAAACAAAATAAAACTTTCAATATCTTCAATGTTCAATATTTATTGTTAAAGTTCAATATTTAATGTTTAAAATAAAAATCAATGTTCAATATTAAATTTTATATAATTTAATAAAATGAAGAAAAAACGTAAAAATTCTCGAAAAACTGAATTTTGCTCTTCCACTGAAAAATTCATAACTTCGCCATTTATTTATGGATTTTTATCAACAGCAGCTTATTTTTTTTCTTTAAGTATAATCTATACGTAAAATAAATCAAACTAGACTTATCTTTTCAATTTCTATCTTTCCCAGAAAGATATGTAAATTTTTAACGTAAGTGCTTGTTTGGTCAAATCGATCAATTACAACTCGAAGTATACTCTAAAACGTCAAAACACCTCAGAAAATTAAAAAAAAAACAATTGAAAATTCATATCTCGATTTTCGCGTTTAGTGAGACAAACTACACAAGGTGTGCAAAATGGCTGTACACTAGTGTAATTAGTCAAATTCTACCAAATAATATTAGAATAGTCAAATTAGTACATTTAAATTTAAAAAAGTTATGATTCAGCCGGGGTTTAAAGTTTTGTGTTGCTGTTTTAAGCTAAAAGTTTTGCATCTTTTATGGGCCATTTAACCATGAAGTCTACATGCATTTAACTCTTACAATATATTGTTGTTGGCCGCAAGAAATAAAAATGATAAAAGAAATTAGTTACTTGTTACTCCTAGAAGCAGTCAAAGATGGTGACTTATCTTAAATTAGTCAAACTTTTAACTATTTAAGTAGTAAAAAATAACTATTTAAAAGTGAAAACGACTACTTAATTAGTGCTGGTACTATTTTTGACTATTTCATTGTAAACGAGTATGTCTACACTGAAAATAATTTTGTTCGTAATATCAATAAACACTATTTATCGAAATTTATTTATTAGCACAATGAATATAATCGTTAAGTCAATTATTAGGGGTTCTTGGATGATTAACAGGGTTATTGGTTTAACGAATTACTGTTCATTACTTTTTACCTACGAAGTCAGTAACTTTTTTTACTGACCCAATGAATCCTGTTCATTGGGCCAATAAACATAGTACATCAAGCGCGTTTACGTAAATTGATAAACAAAATTCGTTAGATTAATGAATACTGGGCATTAATCAATAAATGCATTCGTTATATCAATGAATCAGTTCGATAAATAAATGAACGTGTACATTGGTTTAAAGAAATATTTTGATTGATATTACGAACAATTGTACGTCAGGACAATGAATTCAATTATTCACTGATATAAGGGTTTCTCTAAGCCAATAAATGCATTCATTGACTCAACGAACATTTATTGACTGATGAATACATTCGTTGGGCCAATAAATGCGTTTATTAAGCTGATAAACAGTACATAAAATATAAGAGATTTTATTGGTTAAAACAAAAATTGCCGGGGTAAATTTCACAAAAGACACTATAAGATTTATCCAGTCTATAGACTATAGTCCCTAATTACCTAGGCGAAGGAAGGCGTCTCGTCGCAAAGGATATAGAGGTTCCCTCGCGATACTTATTATTTAGGCAAATCAATTTCTTTGGGTTTTATATGAAGGTGAAGTTTAAGTTGATACCTACTCTGGTTTAAAATTCCAAAGGGTAAGTACATTTCAATTTACATATTTCACTATGCACTGCTTTTTTGTCATAATCGTTTTGCACTTTCGTTAAGGATTAGACATTTTAAGCGCCAAAAGGTTGTTAGTTAATCGTTGCAAGGATACAATTTTGATAGCGGAGACGAATTATTCTGTTGAATCTCAACTATCCAGTTCAAATACCATTATAGGGTATTTTAAATCAATTCATCAACCAACTAAAAATATTCCTATTATTGCTCACCAGATCGACAAGAACATCTTAAATGATGAATCTAAAAAAACCCGGTACCTTCATCATAGATGAATATCAAAAAAATATTGAATAATGAAGCAGCTAAATTTGTCTTGGCCTTACACAATAACAATATTTTTTCTCGAAAGGATATGTTCAATATTCTTAAAAACTTGGATTCTTTTTTGATCAAAACTTTTAGAAAACTTTTGTTAAATCAATATAAATTTGTAGTTCCGGAAACTGACGGAGAAGCATGCCTAAGGGCATGATAACTATTGGAAGACATGGTACAGATTAAACGATCTAGAAATGGCAGAAAACTGTGGACAAATCTTGAAAAAATTGTCTCAATACAAAATTCCGAAGGGATATCGATTGGTACGAAGTATGAATTAAAAATCGAATGTTTAGTAATATTACGAGATGATTTATTTTAGATTGATATGGATTTTGAAGGAGCATTTTCCAAGAGCGACTGCTTACTTAGCCATTGGGAGGAATGCTTTCAGAGGATTTTTGATTTTTTGAAAGATTCAGGTAACCTTAAAGAAAAGACTACAAAATGTTTGGTGGACAACATTGAGGATGAAAGTCATTTCAATATTTTCAGATGGGCGTTATGCGGCAGTATTATGGGCCCTACAACACTACAAATTAGTGTATAAAAATATGTATTATAATGGTATATTTTCTCCAACTGTTCATCTTTTCCATTCCATAAACAAGGCAAACATGTTAAATGCATAGTTTTTGACAATAAATGTTTATTTATTTTCAATGTATTCTTTTATTATGTAGTGTAGTGTATTAAGTAGTGTAAATAGTGTCGTTAGATTAATGAACGAGTTGATTAATTGATTGAGCTAATGAATGTGTTCATTGGATCAATAAACCCGTTTATTAGATCAATGAATACGTTCGTTGATTTTATGAAGAAAAATGATTGAGCTTATGAATGTGTTCATAGATTAATAAACCCGTTTATTGGATCAATAAATATTTTCATATAATCAATAAACCTGTTGATTGAATGAACGAATATCTTGATTGCATCAATAAATAAATTTATTGATTCTACAAACATATCCATCAATTCGATAATAATATTTATTAAATCAATAAATATTTTTATTAAACCAATTAAAAAAGTTAATTGAGTGATAAAATTATAAACATCGACTAATGTACAAGTATTCGTTGGCCCAATTAACTTGTTCATCGGACGAAAAACGATAAACAGAGTTCGTTAAGCCAATAACTTTTTTATTAATATTACGTACCTTTTTGGTTCAGTGTACAACCCTAATATACACATATTAAGATATCTACATTATACAAGAAGAAACAAGAAACTTTATCTATGCAAAATACTCATAACTAATTTTTCGAAAATATATTACAAACATTATTTTTTAGCTAAAAATGTTATTTCTGGGATTATATGGTCTGAAGAGTTGGACAAAACGTTTAGAAATAACTATAAACAGGACCCGACATTATCATGGCAATATTTTGGGAGTTCAACGGGATTTATGAGACAGTTCCCAGGTAAATAACATATTTTTTAAATTGCGTATATGGACTTATGGACTTATCTTGTAAGGTATTTGAGGTAACTTTAATTATCTTAAACAGGGCATTTTTTGGGATATTTTAACAAACACCCTGAAATCCTGAAAACGGTTTTAGATAAATAACCATTAGTCGTATCTTAAAATTTTCTTGAAGGTAACATAAAATCCTAAAACTATATCTTAAAAAAAAGATATTTAAACATTTTCTTATTTAATTTTTGTTCGGTTTTTTTAAAATATAGTACATTTTTGCATTGTCTTTAATTACACTGTAGGTAAATTTCAAACTTTTAAAGACACTTAAAAACGCCGGGACACGTAAACCTAATTTTTGCGTGTAGAATTCAGTGGTGTAATCAGTTTTTTAAAGTTAGCTCGTTTTCTCAAGATATTAATTATTTAAGTTTTTTGTTTCACCATTTTGCTATATTTTTAAAGAAAAATATAGCATAAGCCGTTTTAAAATGTCTCTATTTATTTTTAATTCATAAATTTTTGTCTCTTAAATTAATAACATTCGTGTTTAATCCGATAATATTCATATTTTTTTAATTTTATTAGATTTTTCGCATATTTCTTTTTATGTAATTAAATTTGTTTTAGTAAATTTTATTGTCTGGTATTAGTGGGAAAGACTTAGTACAGCCTGTATAAATGTTGTTTTTAGTTTTTACAATTTGCTACATAATTTTATGGTTAAGTAAGTATAAATATGTAGCTAAAAATTTTGCAAGCTCATTTTAATTTTTATGAAAAACAACTTTCAACCGAATCCGATGAAGCTGGTGAACGATTTCATCAAACCATTATGACATTTGAAGATCGGTTTTCTGGCAAAAAATTCGACTCGATGCTTGCTGATTTTTGTTGGTCAATCTTCAAAGAGGCATAAAATTAAACATTTTTTACATTCTTTGCAACTTGTTATTTAAGTAGTTTTTTTTATTTTTTTAAATATAAATTAATTTTAATATTTTATACAACTAACTGACAAAAAAGCTTATTATTGATAAATAATAATTTTAGAAATAAATTAATTTTAATAGATTTTAAAATTGGAATTGGCCAAAAATGTTAATTATAAATAAATAAAGATATTTTAAGAGGGATTATGGTGTCTTAAAATATATATATATACATATATAGCAAAATAACAAATAAAAAAATATTTAAACACAAAATTTCAAATATCTTAAGAAAACGACCTAATTTAAAAAAAAACGGATTACACCACTGAATTCTACACCCAAAAATTAGGTTTACATGTCCCGGCGTTTTTTGTGTCTTTTTGGTATTTCTCAAAATGTACACAAATAATAAACTAAAAAGTTACAAAAACTTAAATATTAAATATCTTTAGAAAACGAGCTAACTTTAAAAATGTGATTACACCACTGGATTCTACGCCCAATAATTAAGTTTACGTATGCCGGCGATTTTTTGTGTCTTTTTGATGTTACTACTGTGTTATCATAGACAGTGCATTTTTGGAAAATGTTTCAATAAACGTAATGTATCTCGAAAATCTTAAAGCGGTTTTTACCATTAATTGTATCTTTAAAAACAAGTCAAACATCTCAAATCTTCAACTCTAAAAACAAAACAGTTATATACTTTTAATTTTTTTTTGTCAATTTAAACTTTTTTTTATTGCTCATAACTTTTTGATTTTTAAAAATATGGATTTTAGGCTTTTTGCAATACTTTAGAAAATTTAACATAGGTTACAGTGAAGAAAACAAAAAAGTAATATCTAACGATTTTTTAGATATCTTAAATTATCTTAGTACACTTTTTGGGGCGTTAAAGTAAAACTGTTGAATATATTGGTAAAAAATTGACTGTGCCAAAAAAATCAACTATTTTTTTTTTGAATAGTATATCGAAAATATGGTTTGGGGTGACAAAACAAATTATAGTGAAATTTGAGTCCATAATATTAATATTAAGAGGTCTATCATCGCAATTTTAATTTTTTTTCCTCACCAAGTTTTTGTCTCAGAACTCCCAAACCATTGAGTTTAACAAAATTGACTCGAAGAAAATATTTTTTTTAAGAAAATTAAATGCTCTACAAAAAAGGTTAAAGCAAAATTTTTCGTCAGATGAACCGTTTCCTTAAAATCATGCCTTAAAAGTTGGTATAGTTTTATATTTTGATCTTTCAAATTGGAATTTTGTAATTCATGTAAAAATCAGTACCCATAGAAAACCGAAAAATATTCTTATGGGAAATCAAATGCTTTACAAAAAAAAACCTCTCAACATTTTTGGCTAAATTCACTCAATCAAAAGTTATTCAAGGTTAAAATTTCGTTTTGACTTCAAATTTAACCTTGAATAACTTTTGATGGAGTGAATTTAGCCAAAAATGATAAAAGACTTTTTTTGTAGAGCATTCGATTTCCCATAAGAATATTTATCGTTTTTTACATGAATTACAAAATTCCAAAGTTAAAAGATCAAATTGTAAAACTATACCAATTTTTAAGGCATGATTGTAAGAAAACGGTTCATCTGACGGGAAATTCCAATCAAACCTTTTTTGTAGAGCATTCAATTTTTTCAAAAAATATTCTTAAGTCAATTTTGTTAAACTCAATGATTTGGAAGTTCTGAGAACAAAACTCGCTCAGGAAAAAAAAATCTAAAATTGCGATGATAGACCTCTTAATAATAATATTATGGACTCAAACTTTCACCATAATTTTTTTTGTCACCCCAAACAATATTTTCGATATACTTTACAAAAAAAAATAGTCGATTTTTTTGGCCCAGTCTAGTATACGATGGCTTTATATAGCGTCGTGGCAGAGTGTTGCGAAGTGTGCTTCACACCACATGGCCTCCCGGCACTGATGAGGTCCCAAAGACCAAACAGGCTACCTATCGTTTATGATATCCAAAAATAATTTACACCATTAGATAAAAACTCAAATTATCTCTAAAAATACTTTTCCATATTTCAGCCATGATCTGGTCCCAAGAACCCATAGACCTATTCGACTGCAGAACTAGAACTTGGTTCATAGAAGCCGCTTCGTCGCCGAAAGATATTGTTATTTTGGTCGACAGATCGGGTAGTATGACGGGAATGCGGCGCGAGATAGCTCGACATGTGGTGCACAATATTTTGGACACCTTGGGTAATAACGACTACGTAAATATCTACACGTTTAGTAACACCACTGAGCCTTTGGTGCCTTGTTTTGAGGACCAACTCGTCCAGGTAATATAATATGAAGGAGAAATAGATGGCGTGGACTGTTTTTGGTGTTTTTCAGGCTAATTTGGCAAATGTAAGGCTCTTCAAAGAAAGCATGACTAATTTTAAGACAGAACAGATAGCAAACTTTACTGACTCCCTTATCACCGCCTTTGAGCTTCTACAGGATTATAGGGAAACGAAAAAAGGTAATATCTTTATTGATTTTAAAAAGAAACAGTACATTATCTACTGTGTTGGCAACATATGGGAAAACTTTTTTATTATTAATTTTAAGAAAAAATTAATTCTTTCTAAAATAAATATATACATATAACTTACAAACACAAAAAAAGTAATAAAAAATAAATAAAATTACTCGGTTATAATCATTTTTTTGTTTTTCTTGCAAAGGATGTTTTGTAGGCATGGTCGAAATCAATATTATTTATGTCAATTTTTTTTATTTTGTCCGCTGTAACTACCATTTTCACGCCATCGTCCCTAAACCTTACACATTTAAACATTTTTTTAAGGTATACGTACACACCACTATTACACAACTACCACTAAGCACAGAAACACATAGATTATAAAAGAAAACGACTAATAAGAAAACGACATTAAAAAGCGTCCAAAGACTTGTTTGTTTCTTTATGATGGCGTCTCAACCATTCGAACAAGGACTGCCTACGTTGGTTTTGCGCAGCTACACGAGAGCCCTATTGCGATATTTTAAAGTATTGGGAATAATCAATTAGCAGATTCCTTTTTAGAATCTTACACTGGGAATGCCCAATTGAATTTAATTGGAAATTACCTATTAGTAGCTTTAACCAATCGAAACCACTAAAAAACAGTAGAATCCTAATTGGACCTTTCCTTATTTTAAAGTATTGGTAATAACCAATTAGCAGATTCCTTTCTAGAATCTCACACTGGGAATGCCCAATTGAATTCAACCACTAAAACCACTAAAAAACAGTAGAATCTTAATTGGACTTTTCCATATTTTAAAGTATTGGGAATAACCAATTAGCAGATTCCTTTGTAGAATCTCACACTGGGAATGCCCAATTGAATTCAATTGGAAATTACCTATTGGTAGCTTTAACCAATCGAAACCACTAAAAAACAGTAGAATCCTAATCGGACTTTTCCATCATAGAAAATACAAGTAAAAACCAATTTCTGTTTTATAGCTCCCAATTAAACCCAGTAAGCCCAATTCAGACCTATTGATAACAACCAATACTTCAATTGGTTTCTATAAGGAATTAATCGGTCATTTACAACAAGGCTTCTAATAAAACTTTAAGATTAAGTATTCAAACGGGGAGTCATCCTACACTCTTAGAAAAGACCTGGTATTTGTAACTAACTTATTATCGTTGGGGTAAAATTGTTGCAGAAAATAAATTTTTTTGTTTTTTGTAATCAGTACCTTTATATGTGTAACTGCTTGCATCATTACCTGAAAAGATTTAGTTTTGTTGTTGAGTATTATTTACTGCAAAAAGGCGATTAAGTTATTTTAACTGAAACTTTGTGTTGGCTAGAAGTATTGACAACATTATCTCAAAAAAATCCTTTCGGCGGTAAAATGTTTTTGTTGGACCAAATATTTAAGTAACATTCTCAACTGACTGAAATTGGTCCGTGGAACTAACGGTTCGGTTGTATAAACTATGCGTCACTTTTCACACAGCTAAGACACAGCGGTGTGAAACAAAGTGTCAGTTGGGGATGTTGTCTCTGTAGGTTAATGCAACTGCAAAATTTGTGCATTTCGCGCGCGATTTGTCCAGCCCGGCGCGTGCTTTACTTTTAACCTGTAAACAAACGGTGTTGCACGGCGTCCAGACATCGGTCATTGAGTAAGGAACTTCTTTACTCTCTTAAAATGAATTAGTCAAAAATAACTAATTATAAGTCATATTTGACTAATTGTCATAGTGAAAAAGCAGTCACTAATAATTAGTCAAATTCCACTGAATGAAATAGTCAAATTAGTAAATTTAAATTTAAAAAAAGTTTTGACCCAGCCTGGGATTGAACTCAGGTCTGTCACTTGACAAGTTTGTCAAGCTAACGTCTTAACGCATTTGGCTGTCAGCCGCTCTTATAAAAATTAATTTTATTTGTCAATAAATATGGTTAATAATATTTTAAAGTTTAATATATTATTTGTCTTGCTATTTTGAGCTAAACTTTTTGCATCTTTATTTGTTTTATGGGTCCTTTAACCATGGAGAGGTATATGCATTTAATTCAAATAATACTTTGTTGTTGGCCGTAAACGACTAAAGAAATTAGTTACTTTTAACTGTCAGAAATAGTCAAATATGGTGACTAATCTTAAATTAGTCAAACTTTAACTATTTACATAGTAAAAAATAACTATTTAAAAGTGAAAACGACTATTTTATTAGTAAAAAATGCTTTTACTAATTCAAATAGTAGAATTTTGACTATTTCATTTTTAGAGAGTACTCAATGCTTCGGTGGTGTTTGTTCTTTTGTATTTGTGTATCAGCTCGTGTGTGGTGTATATTTTAGGTAAGAAACTAGTTTATTACAATTGGTCATTTGCCCCTGTAAATTCAGTGGCGACATACTTTTTAACTATTCATATATACAAGAATATATTCTTATCTGTTGGTTACTTATAGATATCTCGAACAAATAATATGGATGAGCGGACTGAAGTAGCAGATTTATTAGGAACATGGAGTTTACCTGAATTGGTTCCAGTTTTTAAAGGTTAGGTATTATTATTGCACTCCTTTAATTACACTATTGTAGTTTTGGGGTCCGAAAAAAAAATCCAAAAATGTGAAAATGCCATTCCGACTGAAAATGGCCTCCTGAATCCAATGGTGCCCACCAAAAGTCTCCATCACGTCGGAATTTCGAGAATTTTTTTGTTTTGTTTTGTTACAGCTCAAGTCGCATTTTTGGTATAGGGCCTATACTATAGGCACTCACACTCAAAATTTATCGAATGCTTACCCCTGTTATAATGCAAGTATGTTACGTTGTAAGTACCTAAGAATCATTGTTAAGTTGTTAAACAAAGGCTTGCACTTCACGTAAACATCACGGTTTACTGAAGAAGTATAGTCAACTTTCATCTTAATGTACCTACCTATCTGTGTATATTTACCAAAGAATCGTTTTTGTTTTATTGTTAAAATATTTATAAATGTTTTCTTAGAGTAATTATTAATTTTTGTTATAATGTTTAAACCAAAATTTGGTGTTTTCAGTTATATTGTTATTTTTTAATTTATAATAAATATTTATAAATCGAACGGGCATGAATTTCCTTTCTCTATTTTTTATAATATTTACACAAAAAGTGATATATTTACTAAGCAGGTATGTACTGTGGAATAATACCCATTTGTTGTTGCTACTAATGCAAGCATTTAATATTAAATATAACTTAGTTACAGTACAAAACAAATTTATATTATATCAACTATTAAGATCTTTAAATGTACCTTTTTTCATGTAATTTCAATTAAAAAATAAATTCCTGCATGATACAATGTTTGTTGCGATAAATAGCAAGTGCAGTTGTTACAACTTAGACGCTGCTAAAATGACAGACTAATGTGATTGCATTAAATATCAATTATTTGTATGAAAAAAAAAACTAATTTCGATGCACTAAAACTTGTTGGTTGGAGCTACCAATATTGGCTGTTCCGACAACAAACTGTAAAAACAAATTTGTATTAGTTCCCACAACATATTTTTTTGTTGTGCCTATTTTCACTAATAAAATTGGTTCTGGGAACTAAATTTTCATTGCAAATACCAGGTCTTTTCTAAGAGTGTATACACTTCTACATTTTTCCGTTTGCTGTGCAAGAAACATCATGTCTACAACCCTCAAACATGTTTTTAGGTGCGAACTGTAACCAAGCCATAATGTTAGTCACAGATGGTGTTCAATATAATTTTAAAGAAATTTTCGAGAAATACAACTGGGGAAATCTACCTTTTATGAACGTAAGAGTTTTCACATATCTAATTGGTCGAGAAGTATCTGACGTCAGGGAGGTCAAGTGGATGGCTTGTGCAAATCAAGGTACATACAAAAATCCTATCGATTGCGCCATTATTATTTCATTGTTTTAGGGTACTACGTGCACCTCAGTACATACGCAGAAGTGCGGGAGGAGGTGCTACAATATATTCCAGTTATGGCAAGACCCATGGTACTAAATGCCAACCAAAAACCGAATCCAACGTGGAGTCCAGTCTATGCAGACGTAACGGACCCAAAGTTAACGAATTGGCTTTGGGTCAATCGTGAGAGAAACAAACAAAGAGAGAGATTTATGGCGTATAAAAAAGATAAAACCCTACTATCGTCAGTGGAACAAGACAAAAATTACGTACACCAACAAAAATTTGTAAGTTTATTTTAGATTCAAATCTGCAGATGTAGATATACATTAGGGTGTCCGTTAGTTACCAACTTGTTTTTTTTGTTCGCAGCGCCCCCTAAATTTTTAGTTTATGACCTAAAAAAAATTATAAAAAAAATATTCATTTTAAACCGTGCCACAAAGACGATACATTTCCATTTCCATAACATGGGGTTTCGGCAAGTTTTACTTTTATTTTTTTTTCTCTGGAGCAAATTAATATACAGCAATAAGTGAAACATATTTTATAGGAAATTGAACGCTGTACAAAAAAGCTCTCCCATGATTTTTCGATAAATTATTCAAGGTTAAAATTATAGTAATTTTTTCGATTTTTTTACTTTGACTGCAAAATTATCATTATTTTGATGAAAATAAATTGTTGATTTTTGAAAATATGTGATTTTATTGCATTATTAAAAAAGTGAAAATTATTGAAAAGAGATAATTGAAAATTATTGACAAGAGATTCCGATAAATTTAAAATTGTTTATTACATTAAAAGAATCTGGTACCAGTTTTACTCAAATTTAGAACGATTACTTTTTTTACATAATCTTTTATTTCTGTGAAATTTTACAAAATTTTATACGATTTTATAAAATATTATTACAATGAAAAATTTCAGCTGTAGCTAATGACGTAGAAATATTTTAACAATTAATTTTACTAAAAAATTAAATTTGTAGTAACGCATGCGCACTAAATTATGATTTATTACTTTGACCACAGAAGGCAGAAGTCGCAAAGTTGAAGTTCCAGTGCCATCGTCTGTGGCATCTTTTATATAATAGTATAGGTATTATGTATCAAGTTTTATAAACGCCATTTTAGTTACGAGTTTTATTAGGCACGAGCGAAGCTTATTAAAAGTCACAGCTTCTCAATGTAGAAGTAGATAATAGTATATTATGTATCAAGTTTTATAAACGGCATTTTATTTACGAGTTTTACTAGGCACGAGCGAAGCTTGCGAGCGAGTGTTTAATAAAAACGAGTGTCTAGAGAAGTTTATAAAACGAGTTGCATACTATACTTTATCTACGACGAACACAAAGACATTTGACATCTGTCAACTTTAAACAGATTTAACCCTACTTTTTTCTAATTTATAATAAAGCCAACTTCAGCCCGTGACTAAAATGCCCAAAACCTACTATTTCTAACTTCAACCCGTGACTAAAACGCCATAAAATCATAGCTTGTTAATGGAGGAGTAGATAAATACATTTAACGTATTTGAAAAGGATAATTGGTGTAGCGGAATTGTCTGCATCTCATACTCAACAACATATGCGTAACTACGAATTTTATTTTGTCGTAAAAATAATTGTTAAAAGAATTTCTACGTCATTAGCTGTACTGAAGGAAAAGTTTTTATTGTATAATATTTTATAAAATCGTATAAATTTTTTTAGAATTTAATAGAAATAAAAAGGTTATGTAAAAAAGTAAGCGTACTTAAATTGAGTAAAACTAGTACCAGATTCGTTTAATGTAATAAAAAAAAATTGAATTTATCGAAATCTCTTATCTTATCTCTTTTCAATATTTTTTATTTTTTCAATAAAACAATAAAATTACATATTTTCAAAAATAAACAATTCATTTTCATAAAGCTCGGGAGGAAAAAAATTAAATGTAAAACTTGCCGAAAATGTATCGTCTTTGTGGCACGGTTTGATATAAATATTTTTTTATAATTTTTTTTTGGTCATTAACTAAAAATTTAGGGGGCGCTGCGAACAAAAAAACCAAGTTGGTAAATAACGGACACCCTAATATACATGTAGATCATATTTTTATATTGGTTTTTTTTGCAGAAACAAGACAACTACGGGGAGTTACAAACTTATCATCTAATGACATCTGTTTCTCTTCCAGTATACGACAAAAAACCCAGACAAGTAAGTACTACCTTCTACAGGGTGTTTCCATGAAACTTTCATTGGAAACACTCTTAAAAAATGTTTACTTTTTAACATGTATAATTTATGTACCTCACATTATAACATAAGATGTTTTATAATATTTCTACAGAATATAACAGAAAAAATACAAATAAATGAAGCCCTATGGATTACTGTTACCAGAGAGGTAAAAAAGTAACAAAAAACAGTAAAATTGGTATCTACTTTTTACAAAATAGCATAGGGAGTCATATTTTGGTTTTTCAATTATTAAAATCGCATAAAGATGTCAAAACTACAAAAAACACAACTCAAAATTTGTGTAGTTTATTGAAGACTGCGATTTTAATGATTGTTAAAATAGAAACATAGACACTCCATAGACTTATTGGTGACATTTTAGTACAATATACATAATATAATTACTAAAAAGTGTTATTTAGGCAATAGATGTATTTAAATATTGTATTTTTTCTCTAGGCCAGCGTGTATAGAAATACTTGAATATTATATGTGTAGTAGTTTATGAACAATACAGCTTTTAAATAATATTACCGAAAATATTAATAGGTTTTAAACAACAATTTTAAAACATTAAAAATTATATCTGAGTACATATTATGTAGGTATTATATTTTTGTTAAAAAACCTATTGACATTTTATAGCATATAGCGTTTAGTCTTTTAGTTTAATAATTACTAAATATTATAACAAAATGGCTAGATTATGTTATTAGCTACAAAATAGTTTAAAATTAAAGTTAAAATAATTTATATTCTAGAATTTATGTAGTATTAACTTATATTTACTAGTACGTTTTTTTCATCAAAAATATTTTTTCTAAATTATATTTTTCCAGGAAAGAGTAGCAAATCTACTGGGTGTTGCTGGTACAGACGTCCCAATAGAATATATTAAAAGACTTATGATGTCATACAGAGTAAGTAAAAAACACGCCCCACTGGGAAAAGTAATATGTCTACAATGTTACTAAACGTAACATTCGTTACGTGTAATGTTACAAAAATATGGCAAAGATTCTGAAACTTTACAACAAAGTCTTATGTCCGGCTTAGCAACATTTCATTTAAAATGATACTTTAATTTGATTGCAATGTTACTAAACGTTACTTTTGTAACACTCATTTAATTAAACACTCGCTCGCAAGCTCGTTCGTCACTAAAATGACGTTTGTCAAACTTGATACATAATGTTAAGTCAAACATTGAGAAAATCTTATTTTTGTAATATTATAATTGTCCAAATAATTATACAGCCATTGTTTGCGCCTCGCCCCTGTAAAACCTTTATTTATTTTGCGATTTTAACCGGATTTGTTTTAAAGTTTAGATCATGATAAACTGTATTTTTAGAGAAAAACACCATATTTTTACAAAATACAAGGCCTACTATGTAGGCGTTTAACCGGATTTGTTTTAAAGTTTAGATCATGATAAACTGTATTTTTAGAGAAAAACACCATATTTTTACAAAATACAAGGCCTACTATGTCAGTTTTCGATTTTTTTTAAATCTTTGCACGGCACTGGATTCACCACCCCTTAAAAGAACCCTATACTAAATTTTATTATAATTTTTTAAGTATGAACGATTTTGCTACTAAATTACTATTTACAAAAATTTATTCTGTCAAGTTATCCGTGAAAAAACATTGAAATAAAATTAAAGTAATAGTAACATGGTATAAATATTTGTATGCTTAGTTTTAACCTTAAAACAACAATGAAACAAAAAATAGAGAATAATTATTCCAAAAATTCTCTACCATTAGATTTACCTCTACTAATCCACCATTTATTTTAATATATACACTTGTATTACACTATCCCGTAGTTCTTTTTTAAATCGCTAATATGAATTCTTAAAAAAAATTTCTAAAAAACTTACATAGTAGAACTTTTGCTCCAAAAATACAGTTTATTAAGATTTATACTTTAAAACAAATCCGGTTAAAATCGCACAATAAATAAAGATTTTACAGGGATGAGTCTCAAACAAATGTGTCACACTGCACATATATACATGTATATATATATCATTTTATAATAAATGTTACCAATGTAACAATGCAAAAACTTTTCATACGAATCTTACGATAAAGTTGCAAGTTTAAGGTTGAGGAAAATTATCATGTGTAACATTTTAAATCTAACATTATATGCAAGTAGCAAATAAAACATTTTATTTGGAAACTCTGCAAACATTGCAGCAATATTTTGTAAGGTTTCTTTTCCAGTGGGGTGAGCCTGAAAAACAAGTGAAAATTCTTTTGGACATTTCGTGTTTTGCTTTTATTTAATCGATAAGCATTATGTATGTTATTGTTTAGGTTTCCTTGAAAAGTGCAAACAATTTTATTTATTTGATTTATTAATATCATTTTTATCGGTATATGTCATAAAATCTAGTCACCTGTCATTTTGACACCTGCTTTTTTTACCTTTTTGGCAGGTGTTAAAAATGACGTGTTTAAAAGGATCTATGACAGAGTAACATTAAATGTTTTAAAGTTTTGTTTCACTTCAAAAAGTTAAAAAAGCGGACGATTTAAATATTTAATTTTAATTTTTTTTAGCTTGGTGTTAATGGTTATGCTTTTATAGTAACAAATAATGGTTACATTTTGACCCATCCAGATCTTAGACCAGTGGTAAGTACAGGGTGGTTTTGAACAAATTATATAAGAAACACATACATTTTTTAAAGGCATATTAAAGTAAATATTAATCTTTTCATACGAATACGTTGCAAACAAGTACCAGTACATTAAATTGGTAACCCTTGAAGAAATTTTTCTCGGAAAAAGTCAAAATAAGATTTTTTCGCTCTTGTGGGTAAGATCGGGTATTTTGTAATTTTTGGTCGGGAACTTTTATTGAAAAGTCCAATAAAAAGTAAATTTTTAGAAATGGCTCCAACTCCACGTCATATTTGCGAGTTTTAATATATTTTAGATCCACGATTAAAAAGTATTTGCAACCTGATGTTTTAGATGTCATAAACCATCAAAATTTGGCGCACACCGTGGATACAAACTTTAAATACCTATATCAAATTTGGATCCTTTTATGATATTTTTAAACAACTTGGTCTTGCTTTTAGTACCAAGGTATACTAAAACCAGCCTACAACAGAGTCGATGTAACAGAGGTTGAAGTGCTAGATGATGATAGTGAACCAAGAGAATTCAGTGATGAAATTAGGAAACTACGAAAACATATTGTCATGCATGATAGAGGAAATGCCACTCTAAGAATCAAGACACATATGGACGATATGGTATGTAAAATAATGTTAATTTTTTGTCACGTATATTGTGTTGTGTTTTATTTCAGAAAAGAATTTTAACTATAACCCGTCACTTCTACTACATGGGTATTAACGCTACTCCCTTCAGTTTAGTTATTGCCCTACCACACAAATATGGCTTTAACAGGGTGCAACACACAGTAGAAAATGACATCCACAGAATGCGTTCCAACGATAAATCCTTCACGCAATTTTTCACTGGGAATTGGACGATACATCCCGACTGGTGAGTTTCAAAAATAAATATATCCAAACAATAAACGTTCTTTTAGGCATTACTGTCGATACTTAAACGATCACTTTTTCGACTCTCGTGAAGAGGAATTCATACATTTTTTGAAAAAAATGGCCGAACCTGGCTGGAAGTGGACCGCAGAATGTAGTAAGCCGCATTTTTTGAAATTTTTAAAAACTATATTTTTGTTTTTATCAAGGTGAAAGAAAATTAATATGTGAAGTGGTCGGCGATGCCAAAATAACCTCATGGTTTAGCGAAAATATCACTACTACTTCTAAGGAGGATAACGCGTAAGTTATATGTTTTTTAATAATAATAATAATAGTTAATAATTAAACAAAAAATAGGTCTGGATTTTTTTTTATTTTATTTAACGATTATTTGTTTTATCGTATAACGAAATCCAGACTTATAATCCTGCATGTTTCCTTAATTTCCGTAATTTTATATGAGCACTTAAATTCGAAAATTATAAAAAATGTTAAAGTTAAATTATTTTTTTATTTCTATAAGTCTAATAGCAATGTTAATGAAGATTTTTCCAAGGTAAAGTATACAAAAAATATTTTTTTGTAAATAAATTTTATATTTATTATTATATAAAATTGTGCACCAAAAAATTACGCAAAATTTCTGTTACATATTATAAAATATTTTATCAATTTATTGATAATGACAACAAAGTCTAAATAAAAATAATATACTTATAATGCATTTTTTGGGGCACATAGGGTGTAATGCAACTCTAAAAACAAAAGTTTTCTGACTTGTAAGGCAACCTATATAAACTATACAAAAATGCATGATATAACTTTATAAAAAGTTAAGTAAATTTTATTTGGATTAGTTTTGTGTTTGTCAAAAATGGCGGATGCGCCGGGAAATTATTATAAAATTGGTACCTACTTTTTGGGTTTGTTTCGTATTTTATATTTATAATGCAGCCAGGATTTTAGAGCAGCGAGGATTAAAGAATTTGGAAAATTGTTTTTGTATATTATATTGTAATATTATATTAGTCCTATTTTTTTATTTAAGTTTTTATCTACGAGGTGTGTTCAGAAAATAACGGGAATTGTTAAATTTCGCGGGTTCGGAGGGTCCGGTTGTCATAAAATTTTCTTTATTATGTTGGTTTACATGCCCCCGAAGTATGATAAAAACTTTAGCTGTTTTCATTGTTTAATTTGTCTGTGGCAGCCGCTAAGGTTAGACGCTCGGCGATTTTCGTTCGTTAAAAGAAATGGATCAAAGAATTTGTATCCAATTTTGCTTAAAAAATGAAATTAATTCTGTGAAATGTTAACAAAGGCCTATAGTGAGTCTGCTATAAGTAAAACAAGAGTTTACAAGTGGTATAAGAGTTTCCCAGATGGCCGTGAAGACGTTGAAGATGACGAACGCCCCGAACGCACAAGCACATTAACAACCGATAAAATCATGGAAAAAGTGGAAGAAATGGTTATATACCATCAAAGAAGTCGCTGATGATGTTGGTATATCGATTGGCTCATCCCATGAAATTTTTTCAAATGTTTTGGGTATGAAACGCGTGACAGCAAAATTTGTTCCAAAATTGTTAAATTTTGAACAAAATTTTTGGCCAAAAACAATACTGTAATGATGCCCCAGCCTCCATATTCGCCAGACATGCCTCTGTCTGACTTTTTTCTATTCCAAAAAATAAAGAGAACCTTAAAGGGCCGTCGTTTTGAAAGCATAGATGACATTAAAAGCGCATCGCTGAAAGAACTAAAGGCTATCTCAAAGATCGAGTTTTAGAAGTGTTTCGTGGAAGAAGAGCTGGCACATGTGCATAATATCCAATGGGAACTATTTTGAAGGCGACAACATTAATGTAGACGAATAAATAAATATTTGTTTCAAAAAACGAAAATTCCCGATATTTTCTGAACACACCTCGTATTAAACAGATGAATACGCACAAGTTTTCTCTTCCTATTGCATATTTTCGGCATTATTTGGGTTTTACCTGTATAATAGTAACCATTATAACCGCCCCGCCTAGCAACGGGAATAATGAACTCATTATTCACGTTGTTAGGCATCAGTCATTGGCCGATTTCTATATTCACTGTGACTTGAACCAATTGGGTTTTAAATTGGGAAAAGTGAGGTTGAAGCTTTCTAACCAGAGTTATGTGAAAATTAATTTAATTTTCATTAAAAAAGAAGTAATGCATAATGAAAATTAAACTCATTACTCACTATTTTAATAATGTGTATTCAAACCTGAATGCATTGGAAAAATAATGCACTGTTTCTAACAGATGTCAGATTTTTTTATATATACGAGGGGCGACTATAATGATGAATAAAATCGGAAGAAAGTGAGGTTATAATATATTTTGTTAAAAATTAAATTTATTTAATTGGAGTAAAAAAAATACCATGCTTATATGTACTATTATTAAAGCAAAAAGTAAAAATAATATTTAGCATATAAAGTTATAAAGCAATGCTACAAAAGACCCAAAAATAAATTATATAAAATTAAATTTGAATTTTTTTTATGTGGCTTTAATTTTAACTTAACTTTGGTTCTTCTGTAGCTTTATTTTTTAACTTTATCAACTAAATATTATGTTTTACATTTTTGTTCAATAAAAGCTTGTTTTTTTATAAAAAATACGTTTATTTTATAAAAAATACACACAGTAAATATTGTTTATTAATTAATTTAAATTTTTAATGTATAATAATATGTTTTCGTCATAAAAAAATGTTTAAATGTATTTATTAATATACGATATTTTATCAAAAGGACTGAGCTTATAAAGAGGTTTGGAATAACTGTAGCATTCTTAGCTACACACAGTGGCCTAACAAGATGGCAAGATTTCCCGCAAAATATCGACACAACCGTACACGAACCGTAACTATACCCTAAATAAAGCTAAAACAATACCTAAAATACACATTTTTTTCAGAAATTTTCATATTCTACACAACAAAGCAATCGACGAAACTTGGTATAAACGAGCCGTTGAGCATCATTACACGGACCCGAGAAATTTCGTTTACTCAGTGCCATTCGATATAGGTAAAGTTATCCTTATATCACACAGGGTGTCCAAAATAACGTTAATATATTTCGGGGGGTAATTCTCCACGTAAAAATAAAAAAACTTTAATAAATCGTTTTTGCAGAAATAATTCACAAACATTTTTATTCAAAATAAATATCAATTTTTTTCTTTTTTACTGTACCTAGTATATAAGGATTATTACGTATAATTAACTATATTTCAATCAAAAAACATAAAGGTTTTTAATTTTTAAATGTGTTTTTAGATGTTCATAGAGCGCCAATTGCGGAAATAACCCAATAATTTTTTTATTGCAAAAAATATTAATTAAACGATGTCGTATTCCATAAATAATGGAATTGATTATGCTTTTATTTGAAATAAAAATCATTTCCATAGTTAAACCACAAGCCTTTTAATTGAAAAAAACAAAAAGCGTCGCTCTTAATGAAAAACCCTTCAGCAACTTTTTTTTGTACGTGTGGAATCACCACCCGAAATATATTAACGTTATTTTTGGACACCCTGTATAGTATATAGTAGGGTGTTTAAAAAAAAGATTTATTGTTTTTTTCTAATGGTGTTGAAAAATTAATATCGCTTGGGTGTTGCGACAACAAACCATTCCAAAGTTATAAGAATTCAAAATTAAAAAAATAAAAATTTTCGTGTTATTGAAATGGAAAAACAAAAAATGAATTGAGGCAAACCTTAATATTAATATTAAGGGCTCAAATAGGCGCCAACATTTTTGTTTTTTAATGCACTATTAATTTTTCAAAACCATTGAAAAAAAAATAATTTTTAATTTTTTTGAAACACCCTAATATATAATATAGTATTTTTTACGTGTTATAGACAGTTTTAATTGTTTTTAGGGGATGAAAATTTTACTCTGGTGACCGTCAGCCATGCTATTTTTAGAGAGGACAAGGATAAGTCTCATAAGGCACCAGCAGGAGTGGTTGGCTATCAGTTTTACCATTCGGCTCTTTATTCGCTATTTAAAAATATAACTTTTAGTGTAAGTAATCAAATTTTGTATTATGAAGGCGAACATTTTTTAATAAAAAAATAAACGTGTAGTAGTACGACCAGTGTTGCCAAGGGTTATTTTTTTTAGTACTAGATTTATAAAAACAAAAAATTAATATTTTTTAGTGTGCTCCAAATTTGACTTGCAAAAGAACCTGCGAAAGTGAAGAGTTGCACTGTCTAATGCTCGACGATAACGGCTATATCATCATAAGTGATAACCTAAAAGAAACTGGCTTATTTTTCGGAAATGTCAGACCTGATATTCTAGACCAACTAGTAGAAGAAGGAATCTACAAAATCACCACCATGTTCGACTATCAAGGATTATGTCCTGAAGGGCAAGACACAACAAATCCAGCTACAAAACTATTATCTGTAAGTATATACAGAAAGTCCCAACAGTATAGAGGGTGTTATGTAATTAATGTTATATATTAAAATACTGAATACCTTTTGACATAAGGAATAAAGGAAAAATATTTAAAAAAACATTTTTCCAAAGATGAAGAAAAAATATACATTAGAAGTTTTTTATATTTTTTGTGATACGCCACTGGTTACACACTTGTTTATCTCTGCACACCTGTATTTTGTGAGTACATAGATACCAACCACAGGTCTGTGATACCAACCAACAAAGTAGCTATGCGTTGCCAGATGTAAAAAATTGTTACTAAAAATTTTTCTTTCAAAAAACAAATAAAAACTCAATAAATACAAAAGTTTTATGCCCTTAAAGCTCTAATACCCTTCTGTATTTATTTACTGATCCAGCTATTAGCTTAAGCAATGATTAGAAAATTTAGTACCTTTGAAATTTGAAATCCATAACCACAAAATTAATTTTTTCATCAGTTTTTTTCTCTGTTTACTCAGATGAAATTGGGACCAGTTCACAGGTTAAACTTTAAACATTTAATTTGTGTAAATAAATCCAAAAGCACTTCCCTTAGTTAAGATATTTGCAATTTGAAAACATAACCTAAAATTTAAAAGAAATGCACTAGATTCTGTCATAAAAGTTGGCAGATTTTGTTTGAATTTACCTTCAGTACAAAAATGAAATAACCAACAATTAATAAAAACGCCAAATTGACAATTTGCATTGTTAATTTTGTCATTTTTGTAATTAAGCTAAATTTAAACAATGTTTGTCAACTTTTTTGAGAGATTTTGGAAAACTGTTGTTACCAACCATAACATAATAAATCCACCAGATTAACCTAAAGTTCCTAGTCGATCAGTGGCGTACTTTTTGGTAGGATAAAGGTTATTATAAATTATTTTTAGACTTTGGAATTTAGAAAAAAAAAGTTTCAGGTGCTTCTTTATAGACCCTAAGGAACAACCCATTTTAATATATAACATTAATTACATAACACCCAGTATTTTTCTAAACCACTTTTCTCTAACACAGCCTCTAAACATTTTGACACATTTTCTAACACACCTATGGAATGTACTGTACACAATGATTGCACCTACACTGACAATGGCCACCGAAGATTTGTACACCCTGTATCACGAACACTTACAAGAAAAAAACAAGTACATACCGTGCGATGAAAAATTCCACGGCTATAAGTTGGTAGCTAATTTTACCAATCAAGTCGTGAAGTTGTTTAGGTATTAATTTAAAATGTATTCTTTATAAAAAATTAATGTCATTATAATAAGGGTAAAAAAAATACATTAATTTTTTAGTTGAACCCTGTACATCACTAAATATAATCAACGACATTTTTAGTGATACTCTAATATACAAAATAAAGGACTCCAATCTTTTATTCGTACTTTTCGAAGATTATTACGATTATAACGTCACTAATAATATTTACATTAAATCTACAAACTTGGTCAAAATAGATTATAAAGAAAAATTAGAATGCCTCGTTTCAAAAAGGCAGTTTTTTAAAAGAAATTACGCGCAGTGTTATAATAGAGAAGAAACAAACGTTAGTATATTATGTCAGTAAAATTACCATCAGATCACTAAAATTTTATATTTTTAGGTTTCGGAAATACTATTGTGTCATAGTGACATAGCAAAAAGTAATTTTGCTGTCTTCATCACTAGTTTATTGATAGTGTTTTTATTGCAATATTAGGGTTTTTCACACAATTTAGCATTACTAGGTATACAACACACCATACTACACATTGTTTACAGTTTTATACCACTATTTTAAGGTATATATGCATTTTTAAAGTATTTTAGCGATTTTGCTTGTATATATAAGCTATTTTTGGATTTTAGTTGCTAGATATCACTAAGTTTGACAGATGGATCACTAAGTGACAACATTATCACTGTAGTGATCAAAATGATGAATCAAGTGATCAAAATTGTGATACTAAAAGTGTTATTACCAAGTATCATTATGATCACTAGAGATCACTAAATACAATTTTGATCACTAAACTCGAAAAAGCGCGATTGTACTCGTTTTCGTATGATTTTAGGCTTCTAAACTTGATTTTGCTATCAAAATTTATTTATTTTTTGATTTTCAATTTTTTTTTTGTTTTAGCCTATGTATCATGTATCCGCCGTTTTTAAATGGATTTTTACCACACTTATATACTGGACGAGAGCGGTCACCGGAAGCGAGTTGGAAACTATGGCGTATCCGGAAGTAAATAATGAGCAACCGGAGGAAGAGATCGTAACGGAACCTGAACGCGAGGGTGAGCCGGAAAAAGAGGAGACAATGGAAAATAGTCCTTCGTCGAGAAGCGATAAGGAGTTCGATCAAAGATTGTTGATAACGAAAACTAAACCTGAACCGTGCGATACCGAATTTTCTCTGTACAGTCTGGTTCACTATACTGAAAGGAATAACTCTAATAGTGGTTACAATAGGACCATGTCAAATTGTAGCAGGTAGGTTTATATTTTACAAAAAAAAACGCTTTTAAAATTTTAAATCGATATCTTTTTTCGTTCCAATGAAATTTCTAATGGACCACGAATGTGAAACACCCTGTATATAGATTTAAATATTTTTTATTTCGTTTTAGACCCTTCATAGTCCAAAAAGTGTCCAACAGCAACATGATTTTGCTGGTAATTAACAACTTGTGCAGGGAAAATACCGAGAGATCACAGAAAACAATGGCTAAACTGCCAGAGCCTCCTAAGGAAGTTGACTATAACATGTCACTGTCGTGTTATAGAGTCCAACATAACGACTTTCCAAGAAGACTATACATGAGCTGTATAAACAGAAGCTCTAATGTAAGTATCAAAAATTTCAAAGAAAAATTTTTGCATTACATTTTTTTTTCAGGAAAGCGAAATAAAACTTTGCGGAACAGGGACCAACATATCACCCAAACATTTCATCCCATTTTTACTTTCTTCATTTATACTAAAAGCGTACTTAATTTAAATTAAATCAAATAAAAAAACCTATAAAATCTTGTTTATCTGATTTGGAAATTGACACATTGAGGTTATGTTGTTAATTAAAGTTATTATTGTTGTCACACGTAGTTTTAAAAACAATTTGTCAAATTCCAAATAAAATAAAACCAAATGTATATAGTTAAAAACTACGTAAAAAACCTTAGATAGTTAACCATCTCAACTGTGATAAAGATATTGTAATTAAAAAAAGTAGCTTAAAATAATAAATTTACATCAATTTAAAGGTTCCATTCCATTCCTTGTTAAGAAATAACAAATTTAAACAAAAAATGTAAATAAATTTCGAAAATTAAGCGTTTTTTCTACCACTTGTAATGTTTTTATTTGCTATTGTATTATATAACATATTCTATATTATACAAGTTATGTAAAATTGTTGTTTTATTTAAAAAAAACCATCAGGAAACACTTGATGATTAAAAAAAGTGTGTATATGTCGCCATATCGCTGTTTTTTACTAGAGATGGGAATCGGAAAGTTTCCATTTTAAGGAAACTTTCCGTTTTGGAAAGTTTCCAATTGGGAATTTATTTTCATTTTGAAAGTTTGAAAGCTACCGGAAACCGGAAACTTTCCTTGTTTTTTTCATTTAAATGTCAATTGTTTAACCCTGCTGAAAAAAACTGATCGAAACTCGATCTTTTTTTATCATATTTGATCATGGTCCAGAAAATTCTCGATCCTTTTTTATCATATTTAATGAGGTTCTAGAAATTATCGATCCTTTTTTATCATTTTCGATCAGATTTCGCAGTCGATCCTATTTGATAATGAAAACACGATTGAGTTTTGATAACATATTATCGAAACTCGATCGTGTTTTCATGATCAAATATGATCGACTACTAGGTTCTTGAAATTCTCGATCCTTTTTTATCATTCTCGATCAGATTTCGAAGTCGATCCTATAGGATCGACTTCGAAATATATTTGATCATAAAAACACGATCGAGTTTCGATCCTTTTTCGAACATTTTTGATAAGGTTTTCGTGGTCAAAAAGGATCGTTTCGATCCTGTTTTCATGATCAAATAGGATCGAGTTTCGATCCTTTTTGATAACGAAAACAGGATCGAAACTCGATCCTTTTTCGATCATTTTCCATAATGTTTCCATAATTAATTCTAAAATAAAAGATACAATTTTCAAAACATGAAAACTTTATTGGGCACTTTCAAAAAGATCGGATGACAACGATGATGATGATGAAATTCGTAATTATAATTACATTTCCTTATTATAAGAAAAAGTAGTATTCTGTACTACTTTTCATGCGCTACCTTATGATGATTAATTAATGATACGAGGTATTGCGCCTAAGCCATCGATATATTTAAATTAAAAAAGTTCCAATAAAATAAAATCTTGACATACTTGTCTAGGGAAATCTAGGGATTTTTTTGTAAAAAATCTGGGGAAATAAAAAAATATCATCTGGCAACCCTGTCTGTAATGTGTCTATAATCTGTGCACGTGCTTGTCATGTTGGTAACCAACAGTTGGTTAGTGTTTTTTGTTATCGATTTTACGGTTTTACTGTGGGTTTTTCTTTACTATAATAATTAAAAATTCGATGAAAAGTACTGATTGCCATCAAACAAAAAAAACTTATGATTCCCGAGTTGCGGCAATTTTTTATGAATTTTGTTTTTTCGGCCCCTGAAAAGTAAGGTTATGTATACAAATTTTACTATGAATTTATTTGTTATAGGTAAATTTAAAGACAGCAAGATAGCAAGATGTCAATTAATTTAACCGCTGATGGACCATGTGCTTTTGTTAAATTTTGCGACACGGGGCATAAAAAAAGGGTGTTGCTGTCGGAAATTTCAAATTTCGATGCAAAAACTTTCTCTCGAAACAAGAAATACTTTATTGAACGTGAGGGAGCAACTGCGCAATGCGTTGTTTCTTTTTTTGCAAGTAAATAATTAATTTTTAGTCTTGTATATAGTTATACAGGGTGATTCAGTTTTAACCTACCAGGGAAAAATGTTCCTCCCATTATCCTGATTCAGAAAAATATCACACATAAGTTGACAAAGAAAAAACGTTTTTTCGTCATATCTTCTATGAAAATGATAAAAATTAATCATAATTTTGTATACATACCTTTCATATGAAAGCCCTATTTTTGAAAAATAAAATTGTTAAAATTTGATACAACATTGGCGTGCAATGGGGCCACATCAAAATATAAAGAAAAAAAGTACGCCACAATATATGAGCTAAAGCAAAACGAAAATACAAATCCAAAAAAAAAAAAAAATTTGAAAAATCGCCGAAGGAAAAAAGGTATGAATGAAAATTTGCAAGATTATTTTGACAATATTAAAATAGTAATATAAATATATTCCCTAAAGGGACACTTTTTTTGTTTTAGAAAAAGGATACAAATTTCATCACCATCGTCATCCGATATTTTTGAAAACGAAAATGTCCAATAAATTTTTCATGTTTTGTAAATTGTATCTTTTATTTTAGAATTAATAATGGAAACCTTATGAAAAATGATCGAAAAAGGATCGAGTTTCAATTCTGTTTTCGTGATCAAAAACGATATCGAACCTCGATCTTATTTAATCATAAAAACAGGATCGAAACTCGATCCTTTTTGATCACGAAAACAGGATCGAAACTCGATCCTTTTTCGATCATTTTTCATAAGGTTTCCATAATAAGTAAAAGTAGTACTACCTATATACAACTTTTCATACTCTTACCTTATGACAGTAGTCTGAAAAGAGAGACCCAAAAATGACTTATCCCCTTATTCCCCGAAACCACGGAATTATTGTTGTGAATATTATTTTATAAAATATATGACTGTTATTATTATAATTACGAATTTCATCATCATCGTCGTGGTCATCCGATTTTTTTGAAATACAAAGTGCCCAATAAAGTTCAAGTTTTGTAAATTGTATCTTTTATTTTAGAATTAATTATGGAAACCTTATGAAAAATGATCGAGTTTCGATCCTGTTTTCGTGATCAAAAAGGATCGAAACTCGATCCTATTTGATCCAGAAAACAGGATCGAAACTCGATCCTTTTTGATCACGAAAACAGGAGACAAAATCCTTATCAAAAATGATCGAAAAAGGATCGAGTTTCGATCCTGTTTTCGTGATCAAAAAGGATCGAGTTTCGATCCTGTTTTCGTGATCAAAAAGGATCGAAACTCGATCCTATTTGATCCAGAAAACAGGATCGAAACTCGATCCTTTTTGATCACGAAAACAGGAGACAAAATCCTTATCAAAAATGATCAAAAAGGATCGAGATTTAAACTCGATCCATTTTCGATCAGTTTTTTTCAGCAGGGAACCGCTGATTTTCGTTAAGGCCATGATACAAGACCAAAAAACTTTGAATAAGAATTTAATGTGTGTTAATTTAAAGCAGAAGAAGTATAAATAATGTAAGTTATGTTACATAACCTCAATGAAGCCGGATTATTCCGCATCATCACAAAAAACTTTTTTAAAAAAAGGTAAACAAAATAAAAACAATAAACAAAGTTAAAATCATTCTTACATTTTTGTTGTTTATTTATAGGCATAGCACAATGCCAATAAAAAAATCTAGTGTTTGGAATTATTTTTTACTTCACTTTTTACTTTTTAATATTCCTATATATTAGTTACTTTGTCCCTTTTAATTTTATTTTACGTAATATCTAGGATTTACTAGCAGTGAATTTCTAATAGTAAACATTTTATTTTTATTTTCTAGGTTTCAGTATATATATAGGTATACCTTAATAGGAATATTCCAAAGTAAAAGATACTAAAAATAGTATTGCAGTTACATTCTTATAAACATTTTTTTTATTTTTTTTCTTAATAAAATTTGACAAAAAGTTATAACACATTTTTGCAAATCCCTGGCATGAAAAATATTTTCGCAATAAAAAAATTTTTTTTGAAACTTTCGGAAAATTTCGGAAATTTTCGATGGAAAGTTTCCGGGAATTTTCGTCAAATGGGAATTTTCCCATCTCTATTTTTTACCTCCAACTCAGGGAAAGAATATACATAATTAGTAATTATTAATTACTATAAAAATATTCGCAGATTGGTATACCTACAATTTTATCTATATTTTAGTGTTGTGAAATTAATCAATTATAATTATAAAAAATAATTATTTGTGATCGAGTCGTAATAAATATTTTTTCTCGCTTATTTTTTCAAAATTTGCTAAATTTTATTACTGAATAGAAAAAAAAACCTTTTTTTATTATGAAGAAAATAAAAAAATTGGTTGCCATAGAAACAAACTAAAAAATATAACAACAAACTAAAAAACTTAAAACATGCTTGGTAATGAACCAAATAACTTTTATATTGAACAAGTTTGCAAATAACAAAGTTAAAGCCATTGATTCATAATTTTGTTCAATACTTGACAATACTATATATTCAATAGTTAGGTTAATTAGGTTAAATTATTCTTCTCGGACTTTTGCTTAGGGCCCCTAAACATGTAAATCCGGCCCTGTGCTATTGTATTATTGTATAATATGGGTATTCTATTATAGAATTTCTATATTAAAAAAGTTATGTAAAATAGTTGTTTTATTAGAAAATCATCATGCAGGAAACAATTCATGCAGGAAACAATTCATGATTGAAGAATGTTTGTATTTTGTCGCCATATCGCCCAAGCAAACACGGACATTCGCAAACTAAAATTAACACAAAAATACAATTAATTAAAGGAAAAATCGCATTTTATAAGACACGACGCCAAAATACTGATATTTTTCGATAGTTGTGCAACAATGGCTGCCAAAGTGACAAAAACGCATCGCATGCGCTGTTGCTGTCAAAGATAAGTCGAATAATTTCAAAAATTGTTCAAATAAGTTTAAACTTAAAACGGAATTTTTAGTATTTATTATACATTTTATGGTTTAATAATTGTAAAATCGTTGATTTTACCACATTCTAAACATACCAGTAGTAAGAAGAACTACGTGTAAACGGGTCATGATAAAAAAGTGGTGTATTTACCTTTTAAGTCCTTTTCGTGACGCTTAATCGCTGTTATTTTAAATCTAGAAGCTACGGCCACTTTCGCACAAAAATAATACAGCGAAACACAAAGGAATAAAAAGTATTCGCGTTTTTAAAAAACGACGCTTAAAACACGGCAAGGTTAACAATAATGGTTGCCAAAGTGACAAAAAAGCATCGACTTGCACATGCGCGGTGTGATCATGTCGAAGATAACACGATTTTAGAGTAAAAAACACAATTTAATAGAAATATTCATTATTTATTAACAAAAATTAATTAGAATACAATTTAATAGTGCTATCAGCGCCCGAAGTAAACACCCAGGGTTGTAGGGGGTGGAAATGGACCCCGAAAATACCAAAATCGTTGAATGAATCGTGATCTTGGAGCCGTTTTAGAGGTACTATCAAAGGATTTTGGAGTAAATCGCTGAAAAAATAAAATACACATTATTATTGTTGGTTTTTAATGTTTTGATGTTTTTGCGAAATAGTTATTTATGTCATTAGGTTAAGAAGTAAGGCTTTTTGTGCTAAGCTCAAGGTTTGAAGGCCGACGCGTAGCGGAGGCCTACAATTGAGCGAAGCACAAAAAGGCACTTCTTGGCCGAATGGCATACAACATTTTATCTTCAAAGCACTTTATATAGGTCAATTTAATTCAACATCAAAGCGGCCTAACCTCACTTTTTTAGAATCTCATTTATTTATTAGCTAAAGATTACATTAAATGTACAATAATTATTATTGCTTTTAGAAGCAGTAATACCTAGTTTGACAATACCTAGCTACATGATTTAAGTAGAAATGGATTTTTGCTATTACATTGAATTCAATTAATTGTTTAATACATAGGTAGGTATCTAATTTCAATTTGTTTGGATTTTTATTTAAAAAATAGGTAGTTTGGAATGTTTAAGCTGTGTTTACACATTTTATTTCACTGAAAACTTAAAGCAAATTAAAACTAAGATAATTTAAATTGTAGAAAAAGAATCGTGCGTTTTCTTGGTTGCCTAACCTCACTTTTTGTTTTATTATTCATATTTAATTTTACAATAATTTAATGAAAAATATTAAACATTAACAATAAAACAAACAAATTAGTGCTTATTATAAATAAATTAAACCAGTTTAGTACGTTAATTTCTTAGAAAAGGATTAATTAGTCAAAACAATACCCCTAGCGAGAAAAAACTAATTACTTGCCTCATAAAATTTTTTATTGGCCTAGGCCATAACAAGGTATTTCTTTATCGAATGTTGACAACAATAAAGTTTAAATTATAGACCGCGTGGAGATAAAAATACTCACTTATAGACCATTCCATGTGATATAATAAGACTCCTATCGTCGGAGCCAGATGCAAACAAAGGATATCTCTTATGAAAAGCTACGCCACGAACTGCTGTACCATGAAGTCTCAAAGTTTGGTATGGCTTTGTACTTAAGTCCAAATCGAACCAAAGCATTTTTCTGTCGTAAGTTCCTACAAGTAAATTATCCCCCAACGGGTGGATCGCCATCGTTGATATCCATTTGGAGTTGGTCATCAGTTTTTTTATTAGGTTTTGCTTTACCAGATCGTAGATTCTGATGTGACGCTGCGTTGCAACAAACAGGCATGGTTTTGTGGGATGGAATAGCACGCATTGTATCAAGCCTAAAACAATTTTTTTATTAAATATTTGGCAAAAAATATAAAGTATTTTTCCAAAAACAGAACCCGACAATACAATTTTTAATAAGTTTCCTTAGTTCTTTCCACATTTCTAAATTTTATATATAGACGTTTCTGAAAAAGGTAAAAGTTCTTAATGCCAGGCATATCATCAATCAGCATATGAAACACAGCTTTGCCAATTTGTTAATGCCTTGTTTATTTTGTTTATAATGGAAACAAAATAAACAAGGCATTAACAAATTGTACCTTTTAAAAAAAACCTCTATAGAAAATACGAGGTGTGTTCAGAAAATAACGGGAATTGTTAAATTTTGCGGGTTCGGAGGGTCCGGTTGTCATAAAATTTTCTTTATTATGTGGGTATACATGCCCCCGAAGTATGATAAAAACTTTAGCTGTTTCCATTGTTTACTTTGTCTGTGGCAGCCGCTAAGGTTAGACGTGTTTTATGAGCTCGGCGATTTTCGTTCGTTAAAAGATAGGATCAAAGAATTTGTATCCAATTTTGCTTAAAAAATGAAATAAATTCTGTGAAATGTTAAAAAGGAATAAAGTGAGTCTGCTATAAGTAAAACAAGAGTTTACAGGTGGTATAAGAGTTTCCAAGATGGCCGTGAAGACGTTGAAGATGACGAACGCCCTGAACGCACAAACAACCGATAAAAACATGAAAAAAGTGGAAGAAATGGTTATAAACCATCAGAGAAGTCGCGGCTCATCCCATAAAATTTTTTCGAATGTTTTGGGTATGAAACGCGTGGCAGCTAAATTTGTTCTAAAATTGTTAAATTTTGAACAAAATTTTTGGCCAAAAACAATACTGTAATGATGCCCCACCCTCCATATTCGCCAGACATGCCTCTGTCTGACTTTTTCCTATTCCCAAAAATATAGAGGTGTCAAGTTTTACAAAATTCATAAAAATGACTATATCTCAAAAACTAACGATTTTTTACTAAGGTCATATTTTGATTTTCTGCTTAGTCATGAGTTGGTCTATCAGTCCTCCAAAGGATATCGTTGACTTTTGGGACACTCTGTATACATACATATATGTATACAGTAAAAATTATACTTCTATCCAAAAATTCTCAAATTTTCAAAAGATTTTAAAAGTTATTGAAAGAATTAAAATAAATAAAATTGTTGTCAATAAATGAAAAAATAAAAAAACGTCAAAAATCAATGGAAAAAATAAAAAAAAATAAAAATTTGCAAAAAAAATTAAGAATGTTAAATGTTAAAAAAGAGCTTGAAAAGTATTCCTTAAAGTCATGAATGAAAAATACAAGTGAAATAAAAGACAAAATAAAAATGAAAAATTTGCAAAAAAAATTAAGAATTTTAAACGTTAAAAAATAGCTTGAATAAAAAAATCCTTGCAATATTCATTAAAAAATATATTTTAGTTTTATAATTGTATATATAGCAGCACATTCTGAATTTTTAAAGATTTTAAAAGTATCCCTCATTTAAAAAAGAAGGAAAACCAGTGAAATAAATCAAATTTTTGGCAATAAAGGACGAAAAAAAAATCTAAAACCAATAAAAAAATAAAAAAATGTCAAAAAAAAATTAGAATTTTAAATTAAATAAAAAAGCTTAAATAAAACAATTTTTGCAATATTCATTAAAAAATATATGTATTATAGTTTTAGAATGAATTTTTAGTCATTTAGAAGTCATTTAAAAAATAAAAAAAAACAAGTAAATTAGGGTTTTAAAATTTCCGGAAAATTTTGGCCGGTCGAAAAAAACGAAAAAATTGAGAAATTTTCAGCAAAATTGACTTTTGCATTTTATTCAAACTGCAAAAGTCAATTTTCCTTAAAATTTCCAAATTTTTACGGAGAATAAAGTAATTTCCGACGCTGATTAAAATCACAATCCATATTATGATTATAATAATTAGTTTTATATTTTTCTGTAATAAAGGATATTCTTTTTTAAATTAAAATATTCGGGGCATTCCACGTTACTCGGTAATTTTTGTCCCGCCCGTCACAATTGAAAATTGTAAGTAAAAACCACAAGTTATAAAATTAATATTTTATAATATTATTTTTATTGTGCTTATAACTTATTAAAAGCATAATAAAACAATATTTTTAAATAAATTTTATAACGTGTAGTTTTTACTCACAATTTTAAATTGTGACGGGCGGGACAAAAATCCCCGAGTAACGTGGAATGACCCATTGTTAAGTTGTTGATTGGTACATTTTCAAAAATGTATATTTTCAAAAAAAAAAAATTTTTGCCAAAAAAGACAATTTTTTCAAGATTTGCAAAAAAAGAAAAAAACAAGTAAAATAAATCAAATTGTTGGCAATAAATGACGAAATAAAAAAATGTCGAAAACCGATAGAATAGACTGTAATATGTTAAAAAAAACTTTAATCCAAAAAAATTCAATAAAAAATGGCATGTCACAACCCAAAAACATAACCAACAAAAAAATACACTTGAACTCACCCTTGGCCTTGGCGAACGGCAACTGACTCCTCCGCCTGGAAACCTGGCTGATCAGCACCGACCTGTTGGCGCCGTCCGGCATCACCGTAGCGAAATAATCGCCCTTGCCGTGCCAGGTAACCTGCGTGACCTCCTTGAAGTGCTTCAGATGAAGCCTGACGCCTCTCTCGTAGAGCTCTTGCGTCGGCTCCAACCACTGAACGCAGGTTCTGATGCGCTCCGGGATTATGTGGTCGGACTTCGGCACTTCCGAGAGAACCGCGTCGGTTTTCTGCGAGATCAGAGTGTCGCCCACGTGGGGGTTTATCAGGTAGACGTCGTTATCGGAGGCGACGAGAACCAGGGACAGGGCCTGGTTGGGGCACCACTCCACAGATCTAACAACGCCCTCTATCTAGAGATATAAAAAAACGGTTTTTTTTCAGATGTAAAAAAACTAGAAAAAAACGGTTTTTATTGTTTTTTTTTCAAAATGAAATTATGAGTAAAATATGTGATTCATTTCCGCAAAGTTTTTGTTTTTTTTCGGTGCTCAAGCAAAATATTAATCTGCATATAGGAAAAAACATTCTCATCAAGTTTGAGGTCTTAATATTAATTTTAAGCACTTACTATTTAAATTTAAAGTTTTACCGTTTAAAATGCATGTAAAAATATATATATATATTTTTTCAAATTTCTAATGCCCACCTTTGACAATATTGCAAATCGGTTTAATACCCCTTATAGGGAATTTCACGCTCTTTAAAATTGCTTTTGAGTTTTTTTTGTAACTCGCTTTGGTTCACCAGTAGGAGTCGTCAAAGGACAGTTTTTGAAAAAAATCGTCTTTTTTTATTTTTTCGAGCAAATCGCCAAAAGTAGTGAGAAAAAAGGGCTGATTCATAAAAAACAAGTTATCCAACCAATATTTAATGAATTTACTGCCATTTTTATAACTGAAAACGTAAGAAATTGATAAATACCAACCCATAATGTTGTTTAGATTGATTTTTTCTATTTATATTTCCCTACACTAAGAACTTTTTTAAATTATTATGATTTCTCACTCATAATGAATATGAAAACAACACATAAATTCATAAAAAAACAACAAAACTTTAATCGGAATATACAGAAGGTTATGTAACATATTTCAAATTTCGCTTCAAAATTTAAATAATCTTCATTTATATTTTTTTGCTATATGACAGAAATGTTGAAAAATTGCAAAATCCACGTTACAATTTTCTTATTGTTTTTTTATGAATTTATCTGTTGTTTTCATATTCATTATAAGTGAGAAATCAATAATTTTAAAAAACTTCTTAGAGTAGAGAAATATAATGATAATAAATAGAAAAAATCAATCTAAATAACATTATGAGTTGGTAATTATCAATTTCTTACGCTTTCAGTTATAAAAATGGCTGTAAATTCATTAAATATTGGTTGGATAACCTTTTTTTATGATTCAGCCCCTTTTTTCTCCCTACTTTTTGCGGTTTGTTAGAAAAAAATTTAAAAAAAAAAACGATTTTTTTCAAAAACTGTCCTTTGACGACTCCTACTGGTGAACCAATGCAAGTTACAAAAAAAAACTCAAAAGCAATTTTAAAGAGCGTGAAATTCCCCATAAGGTGTATTAAACCGATTTGCAATATTGTCAAAGGTGGGTAAGCATTAGAAATTTGAAAAAAAAAAATATATTTTTTACATGCATTTTAAACGGTAAAACTTTAAATTTAGTAAGTACTTAAAATTTATATTAAGAGCTCAAACTTGTTGAGAATTTTTTTTTCTAAATGCAGATTAATATTTTGCTTGAGCACCGAAGAAAACAAAAACTTTGCAGAAATGAATCACCCTAATATATATTAATAATAAAGTGAAATGTAGAATATATTAAATTTTTCATTATTGAAAATTTTGACCGAGTCTAAAAAATCTGATTTCTTATTATTTGGTAGTTTCCACATTGGAAACCAGTAGCAATGTAAAACTTCTACACCAATACAAAAAATTAAAGGATAAAAAAAATTGTTTTGCGATTCTTCGGATAGATGTATCTTGTTAAAAATGGTCGTATTGGAGCCGTAAAAAAAGCAATTTGAAGCTTGAAGTTTCTAGTTTTGAGATTTTTAGATGAAAAATGCTCAATCCTAACAAATACCGTAATAAAAAAAACTTAAAAACTGACTTAACCACCAATGAATAAATGTTCTACAAGAATTTGGTATTGTTTTTTTGAAAAAAAAATTCCATTCTCTACATGAATTTGAAAAATCATGAAAAAAGTGCTTTTGGAAGCTTTTTGAAAAATCAAGCGCTGATTATACAGGGTGTTATGTAATTAATGTTATATATTAAAATGGGTTGTTCCTTAGGGTCCATAAAGAAGCACCTGAAACTTTTTTTTTCTAAATTCCAAAGTCTAAAAATAATTTATAATAACCTTTATCCTACCAAAAAGTACGCCACTGATCGACTAGGAACTTTAGGTTAATCTGGTGGATTTATTATGTTATGGTTGGTAACAGTGTTTCCAAAATCTCTCAAAAAAGTTGACAAACATTGTTTAAATTTAGCTTAATTACAAAAATGATAAAATTTACAATGCAAATTGTCAATTTGACGTTTTTATTAATTGTTGGTTATTTCATTTTTGTACTGAAGGTAAATTCAAACAAAATCTGCCAACTTTTATGACAGAATCTAGTGCATTTCTTTTAAATTTTAGGTTATGTTTTCAAATTGTAAATATCTTAACTAAGAGAAGTGCTTTTGGATTTATTTACACAAATTAAATGTTTAAAGTTTAACCTGTGAACTGGTCCCAATTTCATCTGAGTAAACAGAGAAAAAAACTAATGAAAAAATTAATTTTGTGGTTATGGATTTCAAATTTCAAAGGTACTAAATTTTCTAATCATTGCTTAAGCTAATAGCTGGATCAGTAAATAAATACAGAAGGGTATTAGAGCTTTAAGGGCATAAAACTTTTGTATTTATTGAGTTTTTATTTATTTTTTGCAAGAAAAATTTTTAGTAACAATTTTTTACATCTGGCAACACATAGCTACTTTGTTGGTTGGTATCTATGTACTCACAAAATACAGGTGTGCAGAGATAAACAAGTGTGTAACCAGGGGCGTATCACAAAAAATATAAAAAACTTTTAATGCATATTTTTTCTTTATCTTTGGAAAAATGCTTTTTAAAATATTTTTCCTTTATTCCTTATGTCAAAAGGTATTCAGTATTTTAATATATAACATTAATTACATAACACCCTGTATATTAATAATAAAGTGAAATGTAGAATATATTAAATTTTTCATTATTGAAAATTTTGACCGAGACTAAAAAATCTGATTTCTTATTATTTGGTAGTTTCCACATTGGAAACCAGTAGCAATGTAAAATTTCTACACCAATACAAAAAATTAAAGGATAAAAAAAATTGTTTTGCGATTCTTCGGATAGATGTATCTTTGTTAAAAATGGTCGTATTGCAGCCGTAAAAAAAGCAATTTGAAGCTTGAAGTTTCTAGTTTTGAGATTTTTAGATGAAAAATGCTCAATCCTAACAAATGCCGTAATAAAAAAAATCGATTTTTTTTTTGGCTTTCTGGTCCACGGAATGTTCTGACTTAACCACCAATGAATAAATGTTCTACAAGAATTTGGTATTGTTTTTTTGAAAAAAAAATTCCATTCTCTACATGAATTTAAAAAATCATGAAAAAAGTGCTTTTGGAAGCTTTTTGAAAAATCAAGCACTGATTATACAGGGTGTTATGTAATTAATGTTATATATTAAAATAGGTTGTTCCTTAGGGTCCATAAAGAAGCACCTGAAACTTTTTTTTTTAAATTCAAAAGTCTAAAAATAATTTATAATAACCTTTATCCTACCAAAAAGTACGCCACTGATCGACTAGGAACTTTAGGTTAATCTGGTGGATTTATTATGTTATGGTTGGTAACAGTGTTTCCAAAATCTCTCAAAAAAGTTGACAAACATTGTTTAAATTTAGCTTAATTACAAAAATTACAAAATTAACAATGCAAATTGTCAATTTGGCGTTTTTATTAATTGTTGGTTATTTCATTTTTGTACTGAAGGTAAATTCAAACAAAATCTGCCAACTTTTATGACAGAATCTAGTGCATTTCTTTTAAATTTTAGGTTATGTTTTCAAATTGTAAATATCTTAATTAAGGGAAGTGCTTTTGGATTTATTTACACAAATTAAATGTTTAAAGTTTAACCTGTGAACTGGTCCCAATTTCATCTGAGTAAACAGAGAAAAAAACTAACGAAAAAATTAATTTTGTGGTTATGGATTTCAAATTTCAAAGGTACTAAATTTTCTAATCATTGCTTAAGCTAATAGCTGGATCAGTAAATAAATACAGAAGGGTATTAGAGCTTTAAGGGCATAAAACTTTTGTATTTATTGAGTTTTTATTTATTTTTTGCAAGAAAAATTTTTAGTAACAATTTTTTACATCTGGCAACGCATAGCTACTTTGTTGGTTGGTATCTATGTACTCACAAAATACAGGTGTGCAGAGATAAACAAGTGTGTAACCAGGGGCGTATCACAAAAAATATAAAAAACTTTTAATGCATATTTTTTCTTTATCTTTGGAAAAATGTTTTTTTAAATATTTTTCCTTTATTCCTTTTGTCAAAAGGTATTCAGTATTTTAATATATAACATTGATTACATAACACCCTGTATATATTAATAATAAAGTGAAATGTAGAATATATTAAATTTTTCATTATTGAAAATCTTGACCGAGACTAAAAAATCTGATTTCTTATTATTTGGTAGTTTCCACATTGGAAACCAGTAGCAATGTAAAACTTCTACACCAATACAAAAAATTAAAGGATAAAAAAAATTGTTTTGCGATTCTTCGGATAGATGTATCTTTCTTAAAAATGATCGTATTGGAGCCGTAAAAAAAGCAATTTGAAGCTTGAAGTTTCTAGTTTTGAGATTTGAGACAAATACCGTAATAAAAAAAATCGATTTTTTTTTGGCTTTCTGGTCCACGGAATGTTCTGACTTAACCACCAATGAATAAATGTTCTACAAGAATTTGGTATTGTTTTTTTGAAAAAACAATGAATTTGAAAAATCATGAAAAAAGTGCTTTTGGAAGCTTTTTAAAAAATCAAGCGCTGATTATATGTAGTTACTTTTTTTAGGACCAAAATGAAAACAAGCGCGGCCCTTATTGGTCAATTCGGTGGTGGTGGCGCGTGCATAGCGCGAGACTGTATTTATATTTACTAATTGTCATTTAGTGGCTAATTTTAGTCCATGAAACCTAAAAAAATTAGGCAAATGGGACTAATCTTGAAAAAAACCTAAAATGTCAAAAAAAACCATTTGAAGAAAAACAATAAAAAAAACCTGAAAAAAACAACAAAAAATGGACCGTTTTTTTTTTCAAGTCGCATCTCTACCTCTAGACCAGGGTCGATAATTTTTGAAACAAAAAAAAAATAACAGTAGTAAGGGTAAAAAATGGTTTATCTCGATTTCCGGCAAAACTACAAGTCCTATGGAAAAAAGTTAAATGGGAAAGTTGTAGGTAATAAAAGGATCTACAACTTTTGTAATTACAATTTTTTTACATAACCTCAAAATTTATGTGAAAAATTCAAAAAACCAAGTTTTTGGTTTTTTATTTTTATCTTTTTCAAAAAAAAATTTTTTCCACGAAATTTCGTGAAAACTTACCTTTTTATGTCCCAAATACACTGTAATTTATTTGATTTGAAATATTTATTATTTCGCCTTATTTTGACTTAATATCAAAAAAGCACCCTAATTTTCAATCGAAAATTCTCGCGTCAAAATATCAGCTTTTTTCAAAAAGTCGGTGTGCTTTTTGTTTGTTGAAATCTCTACTTTCTGATGGTGTAAAATATACATTACTATGGTAAATGTTCTCAGAAAATGCAAAAAATATTATAATGAATAACGAAAAAAACTCGAATTCGAAAATTTATTTTAATCATTATGTAGAATTTCATCAAAAAAATGTGATTGTTGCAATTTTTTTTAGTTAAAAAGTTTATTTATTAAATTCTAATAACATTTATGTCAGAAAATCTCATAAAATATAAAAATACATGTAAATCATACTATTGAATTTAGATACTTCATTCTGATTACGTTATTCATTATAATATTTTTTTTATTTTCTGAGAACATTTACCATAGTAATGTATATTTTTTTTTACACCATCAGAAAGTAGAGAGTTCATCGAACAAAAAGCACACCGACTTTTTGAAAAAAAGCTGATATTTTGACGCGAGAATTTTCGATTGATATTAAGTCAAAATAAGGCGAAATAATAAATATTTCAAATCAAATAAATTACAGTGTATTTGGGACATAAAAAGGTAAGTTTTCACCAAATTTCGTGGAAAAAAATTTTTTTTTGAAAAAGATATAAATAAAAAACCAAAAACTTGGTTTTTTGAATTTTTCACATAAATTTTGAGGTTTTGTGAAAAAATTGTAAATACAAAAGTTGTAGATCTTTTTATTACCTACAACTTTGACATTTAACTTTTTTCCATAGGACTTGTAGTTTTGCCGTTTTACCATTTTTAAAGGCTTCTGCACTGGTCTACTCTACCTTGATAGTTTTCAAACACCTCGCGGTGTTGACCTCCCATATTTTGACGGTACCGTCGTCGGAACCGCTGAGCAGGTACTGACCGGTTTTTTCGGTGCTTATGCACCGCACCATGTCCGTGTGGCCCTTGTACTCCAGAGACATGACCGTGGGGAAGGGCTGCAAGTCTCTAGGGCTCGGCAACTTCGGCACCAAAGACTCGGGCTCGATGTTCAGCTTCATTTTGATCGCCCTGGGGCACAGGTAGAGGTCCAGGCACCGCAGGAAGCGCTCCTTTATGAAGCGGGGGTAGGCGGGCACTTTGCGGAGGCTGTCGATTTTTTGGGGGATGAAGTGCAGCTTGCGCTTCCACGGCGCGTTTTTCAGTTTGTTCCACAGCTTGAGTTCTTTCGCGTCGAAGAGGTATTCCGGCGGCGGGTTGTAGCTTTCCGCGTGGCCCGGTAGAAGGCGCTTCGGTGCTGGAATGAGAGAGGCGTTTTTAGGTGCGTCAGCGATGTGGATAAGTTATGTACTTAAATATTGTGCAAAATCTAGGGCATTAAATCAGAGAGGTGTTGCCAGCGCTGCCAGATTTGGGGTTTATATCCAAAAACTTTGGGGTATTAGGTTTTTTTTTCGGAAATTACAGAAACTTTATTATGTTTATGTGGAGTATCTAGTAAAATTTTAATAACACTATAAATTATAATTATTATAGTTTTATTTGGTTTTATTACTAGAGGATTATTTGGCTGCAAGTTCTTCATAAAAAATCCCGAAGGGGTATTTTGGTTTCCGAAATTAGGCAACCAAGATGAAACAGTGTTTTTTTCGTAAGAAGTTGGCAGAACTTTCTGTGTTTAAGAAAATATTTTTATAATAGTAAATAAAGGCGTATTCAAGCTTTATGAGGCGCCATATGTTCCATAATTATTTCATTCGATATATAAAATGTTTTGCAGAAAAAACAATATATAAGTAAAATTTACTACAATTTTGCATATATAGACTGCGCGTAAAAAAATTCTAATTCCAAAACGCCTTTACCAATCTCTATGAAATTTTGTATAAAAATACTTATATCTCAGTTTACGTGTTCGGGGGTTTTTCGAGAAAATATTTTTAAAGCCCTTTTATTTAATAATAAAAAAAACCTTTGAAAAATCACTTTTAGGGAAATTTTTTTTAACTGAATAAAAAATATGCTTTTAAAGACCGTATTTTTGTTAGTATACCCTGAAAATTTTGTACAAATCAAACGAACAGTAACGAAGTCGGTAAAAATTACGCCTTTTTGATTATTTTGCTGAAAAGTGGTCATTTTTTACGACTTTAAGCTGTATTTTCCTTACTGTTCGTTTAATTTGTACAACATTTTCAGAGTATACATATAAGTATACATACTTACAAAAATATTTATTTAAAAAAAATTCCCTATAAAAGTTTTTTTTCGAGCGTTTTTTTATCATTAAATAAAAGGGCTGTGAGGATATTTTTTCGAAAAACCCTTGAACACGTAAACTGAAATATAAGTTAAAGTATTTTTAACAAAAATTTTATAAAGATTGGTAAAGGCGGTTTAGGGTTAGAATTTTTTTACTTATTATGCGTTAATTTTGACCCGCAGTGTATATTTCGAAATAAAGTTTTATATAAGTTGATACGATATAAGTCGCTACCTGTTCATGATTTTTGTGTTGCATTAATAAAGTATTCGAATTGAAAAAATCATCTTTTGCACACTATTTTTTAGATAACGGCGGTTGATTTATAAATTATACGGCGGTTCATCGATATTACTAATGATAGATAGGTATTTAAAGTAATTATACATACAAAAACAAAATTTATAAACATCGCTAGGGGACTTTTCAGACCAAAAAAAATTTATATCGAACTTTGCACGGTGCTAAATTCAATAGGTATATATATTTTTTCAAATCGTATCAAAATTTATATTTTGAAATATAAATATGCAAAAATGTAGTAAATTTTACTTTGCAAAACAAAATGTCCGTCAGACAGTGGCTGCTGGTGCATTTTGGGTACACTGACATCTCAGTTATTAGACATGGGACCCATACCAAATTTATATGAGTTTATAATGACATTATATAGAAAAGTTCTGCGCAAGCAGAATTTAAATTGAAGTTTGCGAAAAATTTGGGGGAGCAGGAGGCTGGGGGTGCACACTAAAAAACTAACTTTTCTTCGCAAACTTCATAAACAAACTATATACTATAAATGCATTTAAGACAAAAAACATGAAAATTTAAAAATTGTTTTTGCACAAGAAAATCGACCTAAGCGATTTATAAATAGGTCTGAGGGGAAAGTAAAAATAAAATACCATTCTGGTCCTATTTTTCTACTGCTATTGCATATTATTTACATTATTTGGGATTTTTTATAACAGTAACCAATTACGAAATTGATAAAAAAAACTTAAAAAAGTATTAAAATATGGCTTGGACTGTCAAATTGACATCAGAGACCAAATTTTAGTATTGCGCATGCAATTTTGGTATTGCGCATGTCCATTTGACAGTCCAAATGCTCGGTAGGAACAAATAAAATATTGAAATTTTTTTTTTTAAGATTTTTAAAGATAGGTATTTCAAAAAAAGTTTAAGAACAGTTCAAATATTTAAATATATCAACTTTCGCAAATAATAACATCGTATCTCATTTGTTGTCAAAAATTAGTTATGATAATTTTCCTTTATAGAAATCTTTTTCAATCAAACTGGGTAATTTTTTTTTTAGAAATTCGTCCAAAAATGTGTTAATTCAAAAAGATTACACTTTTATACATAGGGAAATGATCTTAACTAATTTTTGCCAAAAATCGAGTTACAATGACAATATTGTAACACTATTCCACTATTATAAAACATACTTCTAACATTATTACCTGAAATATGCTTGTGTATCCTCCTCATCTCTTCAGTCTGATCGTCGGTTTGCCACAGCATATAAAACTGAGGCTCCTTCTTCGCCCTCAACTTTGCCTGTTCCTCCCTGGTTTTAATCCAACCCATTTTCAAAGCATGAACCAACTTGGAAACCTTTTGAGCCTCCGATTTGCTGGGCAAAAACGATCTTTTATGCTCCGGGAATTTCCGTATCGGCATTTGCTCCACTTTCGACGTAAACCACTCAATCCAAGGCTAGAAGTAAGCATAAAAAATCTACGTAAAATTACTATAAAAAAACGTTAAATAATTAAATCATTAAAAATCCAAGTAGCTGTGTTCGAATCGCCACGGCAACCATTGCGCATGTCCGATGCTTTTTTGTCAAATAATTTGACAACAATTCAAATATGGCGCTTTAAAAGTAGAAAGAAGTTTACATTTAACGGGTTTTTAAATAGAAATAAGTGTATTTTGGTGCTTTTATATACATTTGAGAACACAGGAAGATTTTGAACAAGTTTTAAAAAGGTAGGTTTTTCTTTTTTATAATTATTTGGGCATTGACAGTTAAGGTCATTATTTTTCTTATTGTTTGCGCTTGTTTTTTGCTTTTGCTTTTGCTTTTTTGCTAAAATATGATTAGAATAAAAGTAAAGTACAGTATAAAATAACAAGGTTTTATGAAAAAAAACGAGGTTAAGAAACAAAAATCACGAAAAAATTATTCAAATTACCTACCCTTAAAATGGTAGAAAAACAATGTAAAGTAAACCCAATATCAAAAAACCTGTAATGTTACAGAAAAAATAAGTTTTAACTAATTTTGTTCTAGTATAGGTAACCTTCCCAATGATTTTTTGTTAAAAAAATATTTTATCTCCACGCGGTCTATAATTTAAACTTTATTTTTGTCAACATTCAATAAAGAAATACCTTGTTATGGCTTAGGCCGATAAAATTTTTTATGAGGCAAGTAATTAGTTCGATTTTTTCTCGCTAGGGGTATTGTTTTGACAAATTAATCCTTTTCTAAGAAATTAACGTACTAAACTGGTTTAATTTATTTATAATAAGCACTAATTTGTTTGTTTTACTGTTAATGTTTAATATTTTTCATTAAATTATTGTAAAATTAAATATGAATAATAAAACAAAAAGTGAGGTTAGGCAACCAAGAAAACGCACGATTCTTTTTCTACGATTTAAATTATAAGTTTTAATTTGCTTTAAGTTTTCAATGAAATTAAATGTTAAACACAGCTTAAACATTCCAAACTACCTATTTTTTAAATAAAAATCCAAACAAATTGAAATTAGATACCTACCTATGTATTAAACAATTAATTGAATTCAATGTAATAGCAAAAATTCCATTTCTACTTAAATCATGTAGCTAGGTATTGTCAAACTATTACTGCTTCTAAAAGCAATAATAATTATTGTACATTTAATGTAATCTTTAACTAATAAATAAACGAGATTCTAAAAAAGTGAGGTTAGGCCGCTTTGATGTTGAATTAAATTGACCTATATAAAGTGTTGTATGCCATTCGGCCAAGAATATTTAAATACTTACAGCATATTCTTCAAAGTTGACATCAGGTATTTTCTGTCCTCTTATTCTACGAATAAGTTGTATATCCTCATCACTTAAAACTACATTTTGACCTGTTTGTGGATCCTTAACTGTTCTCCAGAAGTCCGGATCCTCCATTTTTTTCAAGAAAGCGTCCAGTTGGTCGCCTTGTTCGGGTTTAATAATCCTTTTTCCATCCCAATCGTAACCTAAGTGTTTGTAATCATCGTACCAGTTTTTAGGTATATTACCTACAGTATTTCTTATATCTTCTTCATCTGAAGTATCGTTGTCAGCATATTCGTCAGTTTTACTTCTACTTAACGCGTTTTTATCAAGTTTTGAAGATTCAGACAGCTTGTTGATTGATTTTGGTGACTCATCTTCTTTTTCGCTGGTTTCTTCTTCTGATTCTTCAGAAAGGGGTTCTTCTTCTTCCTCGCCACCACTAGAGTCGTCCTCCTCGTCGCTTTCATCTTCCTCTTCGTCTTCAAGTTCGTCTGAAGCTTCAGAATCTTCTCCCGATATGCTGTCATTATTTTCTTCACCTTCGTCTTCAACAAGTTCGTTATTATCATCTTCGCTGTCTTCGATTTCTCTGTCAGAATCGCTGCTGTCTTCGTCGCCGTTTAAAGTGGTCAAAAAGTCCTTATAACATCAAAATTAATATACACAAAATAAATTGAAACTTTAATTTACCTCTTCTTCAGAGTCAGAACCTTTTTCTTCTTCTATTTCTTTAGAATTACTTGCTTCTTCTACTTTACGTTTAAGGTTTTTATCCGTCTTACCCATATTCCACACAAAAACCTATGTATTTACAATTTTTTCACTCCACACGTGTAAACATATAGCATTGACAAGTAAATTTGCAGGTTAAGTCAACATAACCTCGAATAATCAACGCTGACGACCACCATAGACCATGAACATGTAGAGAGATACCTTACACGGTAACCATAGACGTACAAAATGTAGATAGATGGGTAGAAAAATAAAAATTGTTTTATTGTATATAATACTTGTATATTTACGACCGAATACTGTATACAGTTGTCTAAGTCACAAGACATAAGCGTTCTATTTAACTAGAAAAATATATTATACTTAGATGGCACTTTTACACAGAATATACTTTACATTGGGGGAAAATAGGGCGCAAGAAAAGTACTAAACAAATTAATACAAAAAAAAGTTATTTGTTAAAAGTACAGGGACAACGTTTTTTCTAAGCCACCCTGTATATTCATTTGAATCTAATCTCAGTACACAGGGAAGAAATCAAAACAAAAATATTTGACAGCTTTGTCAAAAGTTTGAGGTTATGGATCCTTTAAATGTCAAATATTTTTTATTAGTTTTCTTACAAGTGTTTAAAGGGAAAATACAATACTATTGTATACTAAAAACTAGACGAAAAAGATACAGTTGACAATTTTTTGTTAAATTTCTAACAAAAAATCATCAGAAATACAGTAAAAAAGACAAAAAATCAATAGTAGGTATAAATAACACAAAAATTTTACTGCTAACTCTAAATCTTACATTCTACTTAATATTAATAATATCTATTCAAGTTACGAAATATAGATATATTTTTATATAAAAAACATCACCATATGTTGTTTTTTTTCGTAACTCTTGTATATTTATATACGATTGTTTTTTACAGTTAAATTGGGATCATTTCACCCCACATGGTGTTACTGGTTGCTTTTATTTTTTACTTTTCAAATTAAAAAAATCAGCTTTAAAACTTTTATTGTTAAATCATTTATTTATTGGGAACATACAGTTTATCCGATATTTAATACAAGCTATTTTTCCTTAAAACATGTCTCTATATACAGAGTGTTCTAAAAATTCTACATAAGTCCCACCTTGACATTTGAATACAAATTATTAAGGTTATATAACTGTCAGTTTAATGCTAATTTCGTCTTTAATACAATGTGGCTTTTTCTATTCTAAATTAAGACTTACCAAACACAAAAAATACTTACTTAATAATACGAAATTATCGTTAAACTGACATAACTTCAATTATTCGTATTTAAATGTTAAATGTTACAATGTGACACTAAAAAATGGTGTACTATTTAATAAATAAATACACATATGTAAATAAACAATTATCATTATATTGTTGTTATAGTTTTAAATTTCTGTCAATAATAATGCAACATAACTTCTATTAAATACGGTATATTTAGCTTATTGTCATTAAAAAAAATTATAGATGGGTATTATTACATTTGGATGTACATATTTGTTAAAAAACTGATTTTTTTCTAACTATAACTATCTCTTTTTATTTTGAGGTTTGGTGCGGTTACTATTTCATTTATGTATGGCTTAACACATGAAAAAATATTAGAAAAAAATATCATGCATGGCGATCGAAAACCCATTTTTACCCGGAATTTTTTTTTCATGCCGAGTAAAAAATTGTTTTTGACGCTGCATTTTGTATTCTATATCACTGCGTTTACGTACAACAGACAGACAAAAAAGGACACAAACAATTTAAGTAAAAGATATACAAAGAGAAAGATAGAGAGAGTTTTTAACTAAGCGTTTTACGGTATTGCTCATAGTTTTTTTATATATTTTAGCTGCCACTCAGTTCAGTCATTTCTTTATAATAAAAAATTACCTTTTTATTACTTACATAAATATGATAGGCCGCGAAATGTCAAGAAATTGCGCCAAAATGTCAAAAATGACAGATATTCATTTTAACAGTATGGCTTTCTTGATTTTATCGCGGGTGATAGTGTTTTTAGGACTAAATACTAAAAATTAAGTCCATTTTATATATTTACTTTACGTATACGTAATTTCTTATGATTAAATAGATGTCCACGTGATTTTTTGTTTTTGTTTAAAAAGCTTATCTACAATTTTGGAAGCCAAGTTTTTCATAAATATTTTTGTGTTGATTTTTTTGATTCGAGATAGGAGTAAATATAATATAATAAAATAAATTAAAATGAAGTGATGAAATTAAGTCTATAAAAAAATTAAATTATTGAATATATCACAATATTCTTAAGTAGCACAAAATATGACAAAATTAAACATTTTCTTGGTTTTGCATTTTTTGTAAAACAAATTAGTAAAAAACGATTGTCAGCGTCAAAATTTGAGTGAATTGTTTTATCAAGATTAAGTTGACACATACATATATAGATGGCGCTTTAATCATAAACCAAATTTAGTCAAAAACGAAAAAATCGAGAAAATGTAAATTTTTGTCATCGCGTGTTTAGAAAAAATAAATTATTTTGAATGGCAGCAAATTCTAAGATCTAAGTTTAAAATGCAAAAAAATACTTAAAAAATTAATCATTTAAGACTAGTACTGTTAACTTTAAAAAAAATTGAGAATATTTTCACTTTTGTACAATTTTTCTATACTTCAAACCCTACACATCCTATAATTTCTATCCACTGGTTTTTCTTAATAATTAAATATTTTCCTTAATTTTAAAAGAAGACATTTTTCCACGTATCTAAGAAAAATTAATTTTTTCTTGTTTCTTTTTGTTTGTTCTAACCACAAAATCATATCATTATTTGGCAGCAAAAACTTAAATCTAAAAAGTATATTATATAATAATCAGTTCATCAAAAAATGAGATCCTTATAAAAAAATTAAAAAAACACGAAATAAATATAACAAATTAAAAAAAAGGACACAACACTGGGACACGTTAAAATGGCAAGATAAAAAAAATATGTACACTATTTCCCAAAAAAAATACAGGGTGTATAGCATAGCTAAGATTTGTGGGACCAACACATTTTTGTGACACAATATTGGTTCAACAAATCTAATTCGCTCTGTATTACGTTAAAAAAGTATACTGAATAAAAAATACTTAAAAACTAAAAATTGCAATATCATCATAAAAATAATAAAACCCTCATTATTATTGTTCTTATTTTAACTTACTGACCCCCAATTGGGGCAATTTGTAGTGAACGATGTGATAGGGGGGGCCGATGGGCGACGTGTTTCCGGGAGTGTTGTAAGACGAAACTTGCATACCGCCCATCGACATGCCCATGCCTGTTGGACCTGCGCATGCCCTGCCGCGTTTGCGTCTCGGTAAGATTCCCTTTCTTGCCATGTAGAACCTGCAAAAGAAACGAATATGCGTTGTCCATTATGCTATTTCGATTCAAAAAAATCTTTAAAAAAACGTCAAAATGTTGACTTCGTACAATTTATTTAAATGCATACATATCCGACCCAAAAATGCATATATGCCCGTCCCAAAATATAAAAAATCGAGCAAATTTATGTAGTAGAAAAAATACATATGTAAATTAAAAAAAGGTTTCCACCACTACATTTTATTTTAAAAACGTAATTATATAATTTTTTAAATTATTTATTTGTATAATATAGTATATGGGCATTTCTTTATTAATTTAAAAAAAACTGCGCCCCCACTGCATTTCTATTGAAAATGATTGGCAAGAGTAGCAGATGGCGCCATTGATTAATGCAACTGTCAAATCGGTATTTAGTTGTCTATAGTTTTAAAGAATCAGTGTTTTTCTGAAAAAAAAAATTCTGTTTTTTGAAAAATAGCTGAAAAAGTCCTATAATGTATACATGTAAATTTTTTACTTTGTCTTTCTTGTCCATTGGCAAAATTGACTTGTATGCTACTATTTAGTTTTGTTGGTTTTAAATAGTAAATTTATACAGACTAGGAATGTTGTTAATATATTTTATCTCCATGCGGTCTATAATTTAAACTTTATTGTTGTCAACATTCGTTAAAGAAATAGAAAAGTAAGGGCAAGGCAAGTAATTTGTTCGATTTTTTCTCGCTAGGGGTATTGTTTTGACAAATTAATCCTTTTGTAAGAAATTAACGTACTAAACTGGTTTAATTTATTTATAATAAGCACTAATTTGTTTGTTTTACTGTTAATGTTTAATATTTTTCATTAAATTATTGTAAAATTAAATATGAATATAATAAAACAAAAAGTGAGGTTGAGCAACCAAGAAAACGCACGATTCTTTTTCTACGATTTAAATTATCTTTAAGTTTTAATTTGCTTTAAGTTTTCAGTGAAATTAAATGTTAAACACAGCTTAAACATTCGAAACTCCCTATTTTTTAAATAAAAATCCAAACAAATTGAAATTAGAAACCTACCTATTTATTAAACAATTAATTGAATTCAATGTAATAGCAAAAATCAATTTCTACTTAAATCATGTAGCTAGATATTGTCAAACTATTACTGCTTCTAAAAGCAATAATAATTATTGTACATTTAATGTAATCTTTAGCTAATAAATAAATGAGATTCTAAAAAAGTGAGGTTCGGCCGCTTTGATGTTGAATTAAATTGACCTATATAAAGTGCTTTGAAGATAAAATGTTGTATGCCATTCGGCCAAGAAGTGCCTTTTTGTGCTTCGCTCAATTGTAGGCCTCCGCTACGCGTCGGCCTTCAAACCTTGAGCTGAGCACAAAAAGCCTTACTTCTTAACCTAATGACATAAATAACTATTTATGATAAAAAATTAACATTTTTATTACTTAAATAATATGTCCACGAAATGTCCAGAAATGGCGGCAAATGTTAAAATCGCAGAAACGTCATTTAAAATGTTTATTTTGACGCTTTCTTGATTTTATTGCGGCTTGTAGACAAGTTGTAGTTAAAATCTTAGCAATATTTCCGTAAATTTTATACCTATAGTATTTTTTTTGTATACGTAATGCACAAAACTTCTAACATTTTTAAAATATTCAAAATTTTCCAAATTTACAAACTTTGAAATTTACAATATTTTTAAAATGGTTTTTAATCAAAATTTTACATTTTTACTTTGTTTACCCATACCACAAAAACCGACCATTTTTTTCAGGTCTCCTATGAAAATATGTGAGTTTATCGTCTTAAGAGCACTCTCTAAAAATCAGTTTGAACAAAAAAATTTTAGTGGTGGCTCAAGAGTTTTTAAAGTTACAAAAATAGTCTTAATTCAATAGTCTTTGTATCCCTATAAGAAAAATGTGCATCTGTAAAAACATCTTTTTTAAAAAATTAGAATTTTTACTATTCTTGGAATTAAAAATTCAAAATCGAGCTGATTTCTGGAGACGCAAGAAAAAAATTGTTTTTTTTGGCCCACCGAAACGCGTCGATTTCTTGCAAAAATTTGAGACAAAATTTCCTTTACCATTTTTATCGAATTCTTAAAATTGCAGGAGTTATTTCATTTTTAAAGCCACCAATCATGGCAAACACAAGATTTTTAATCTCAGACAACGATTAATTATTAAATATTAATAGTTTCCCTAGGGAAATTTTCCTAGTCTAAGGAATTTTTAACACCTTCAGGTACTAAAGGATTTTTTTTCTATCCTAGGGAAATTTTATTAGTTTCTTAACAGGGTATTTTCGACAAAAAATTATTAAAAACGAAAAAATAAACAGAATGAATACATTGTTACCCATTTGTTTGCGACTCACCCCTGTAAAATCTTTATTTATTGTGCGATTTTAACCGGATTTGTTTTAAAGTGTAGATCTTAAAAAAACGCCATATTTTTACAAAATATAAAGCTCACTTTGTCAGTTTTTATGAGTAAATTTTTAAGAATTCATATTAGCGATTTTTTTAAACAAAATCTAAGCACGGCACTGGATTCACTGGATTCAACGACCCTATACGTATCGTACTAAATATATTGAAAAACTACAAAAATTTATTCTGTCAAGTTATCCATGAAGAAAACATTGAAATAAAATTAAACTTATAGTAATAGTACCATGTTACTATTAGTTTAATTTTATTTTAATGTTTTTCATGGATAACTTGACTGAATAAATTTTTGTATTTATTATTGTGCATTTCTCTACTTAACATTTTCAATAAAATTTAGTATAGGGTGAATCCAGGCCGTGCTTAGATTTTGTTTAAAAAAATCGCTAATATGTATTAATGTATTTTTTGTGTATAAAGGTATTAATTTGGAACACAAAAAATACAAAATATACATAATTTTGTCTTATTTTCTTAAAATAAAACAATATATTAAATTGTTGACAGAAATTTAACTTTAATTATTTCTATCAGTCACATGGTGGGTCTTTTGGGTGTGTACCATAGTACCTACTAGGTACTACCTAGTATAAAAATTTGGGGACACCTGTATTTAAAAATTTTGTAAACATTACGTTTGGTTCATAAATTACGTGGACAATTATGTAGCCATATACACTCACAGGCAAAATAATCGATCCACGCAAATTTTCGATGAATTTCAATCGCAAATAACTTTTTTATTTGTTTTCGGATTTAAACAAATATTAAAGAATATTGTAGATACATTAATGGAGAATCGCTCACATTTTAAAAATTACTAAAAAATATACGTACGTTTATAATATACAGGTTTAAACAAAAAGATGTTTTTTACCATAAGTTTAAGACACTCTGTAGAGTGGCAAAACCGCATATTGTTCTAAATTAAGTTTTAATTATCAAGTCACATCTATTTTTAACAGTTTTGTTTTTGGTTTACCTCGATATATTTATTTTTGTGGAAAATATGGATTTTTTTAAAAAAACATTGCAATTTTCAATATTTTTCCTGTATGAAGAACTAAGGTTGCTATGGTCCATCCATAGCCTATGCAGGATGACAGTGACAGTTTTGATGAATCATCCCATACTTGGACATGTCATATACAGCTTTCAAAAGCTATCAAATTGTTTTTTGTAAATTAATGTGTTAATTTTGAGGTGTCTTCATACTTAAAAATGTCTCTGACTGATGTTGCCCTTTGTACTTTACTTCTTGTGACGTTTAAAACACTTGCCACGTAATACTGTGACCGTCCATCCTGGATTAAATTAATGGCTCTGGCAACATCAGTCGGAGACATATCCATTTTTTAAAGTAAGAAGACACCTCAAAATTTAAACATTAATTTGCAAAAAACAATTTGATAGCTTTTGAAAGCCGTGTATGACATGTCAAAGTATGGGATGATTCAACAAAACTGTCACTGTCATTCTCCATAGCCTATGGATGGACCATAGCAACCTTAGTTCTACATACAGAAAAATATTGGAAATTAAAATGTTTTTTTTTAAATCCACATTTTCCACAAAAATAAATAAATCGAGGTGAACCAAAAACAAAACTGTTAAGAATAGATGTGACTTGATAAATAAAACTTAATTTAGAACAATATACGGTTTTGCCACTCTACAGAGTGTCTTAAACTTATGGTAAAAAACATCTTTTTGTTTAAACCTGTATATTATAAACGTACGTCTGTTTTTTTAGTATTTTTTTAAATTGTGAGCGATTGTCCATTAATTTATCTACAATATTCTTTAATATTCGTTTAAATCCGACATCAAATAAAAAAGTTATTTGCGATTGAAATTCATCGAAAATTTGTGTGGATCGATTATTTTGCCTGTGAGTGTATATTCAAAAATTACGTAGTTTTTAGATATTTCAGACTGCCTTTAACTTTATTATTTTCTCTACTTATGTTTTTTTTAGAAAAAGCGTCATAACTACGTTAATAATTCTTTAATTTTATCAATCAAAATATCATTTTAAAGCCTATTTTTTAATGCATTGGTCGCAATAATAAATTTATTTACCTTATGGTGGAAATTGGTATGTTGAACTGGTCGGATACTGTTTGGAAAGTTTGTCCTCTGGTTATGCATTCAGCGGCCCTACGCAGTTCTTCGTCTGACCTTCTGATGCGTCTGTTTGCCGAACCTAAAGATTACAAAAAATTAAAGAACGCGTAAAAATAAACTTCCTATTAAGTTTTACCTGGTGTGCCGTCATATTGACATGACACGTTGGCAATAGCGAATTCAGGGGTTTCTGATTTCACATCCATTCCTCCAGTGTTGACAACGCCATCCTCCTCATTAAATTCAGTATCCATTAATCCGTCACCGTCGAAGTAGGAGTCATCTTCGTCCATGTCATTTTCAATATCCTCTAAAAAAGAAAAAAATCAACTATTTTTTTTTTTTGAAAATTATATCGAAAATATGGTTTGGGGCGACAAAAAAAAATATTGTGAAAGTTTGAGTCCATAATATTAATATTAAGAGGTCTATCATCGCAATTTTAATTTTTTTTCCTCGGCAAGTTTTTGTCTCAGAACTCCCAAACCATTGAGTTTAACAAAAGTCACTCAAAAATATTTTTTTAAGAAAATTAAATTCTCTACATTTCCTTAAAATCATGCCTTAAATATTGGTATAGTTTTAAATTTTGATCTTTTAAATTGGAATTTTGTAATTCATGTAAAAATCAGTATCCATAAAAAACCAATAAATATTGTTATGGAAAATTAAATGCTTTAAAAAAGCCTATCAACATTTTTGGCTAAATTCACTCAATCAAAAGTTATTCAAGGTTAAAATTTCGTTTTGACTTCAAATTTAACCTTGAATAACTTTTGATGGAGTGAATTTAGCCAAAAATTTAGCCAAAAAAATTAGCCAAAAATTTAGCCAAAAGACTTTTTTTGTACAGAATTTGATTTCCCATAAGAATATTTATCGGTTTTTTTTCCGGGTACTGATTTTTACATGAATTACTAAATTACAAAGTTAAAGGATCAAATTGTAAAACTATATAAATTTTTAAGGCATGATTATAAGAAAACGGTTCATCTGACGGGAAATTCCAATCAAACCTTTTTTGTAGAGCATTCAATTTTCTTCAAAAAATATTCTTAAGTCAAATTTGTTAAACTCAATGGTTTGGGAGTTCTAAGACAAAAACTCGGAAAAAAAATCTAAAATTGCGATGATAGACCTCTTAATATTAATATTATGGACTCAAACTTCCACCATAATTTTTTTTTGTCACCCCAAACAATATTTCCGATATACTTTACAAAAAAAAATATTCCAATCATATCTAACAAATCGACGACAGTTTACAGTGGTAGGGGACCAATGCAGCACAATAGAGAAAATCAAATATGGTGTTCCTCAGGGGTCACTTCTGGGACCCTACATGTACTTACTTTACATTAATGATCTTAGCCTATATAAAATACATGGTAAAATGCTCATGTATGCAGATGACTTGGCAATTTTTTACAAGAAAGAAAACAACAAAGACACAGAAAGTAAAATTAAACAAGACTTAAATACACTATAAAAATGGACCAATTCTAATCAACTAACCCTAAACCATCAAAAATGTCACTTTATAAACTTTGAATCCAGAACAAGAGAACATCAAATTAACATCAAAATCAAGGAGCAAGCGTCCAGATAAGTCAAATTACATCTTTTCTTACAGCATTATTATAATAATATGCAGAACGATTGGCAATACTGTAGTATTGCCAACTGTTCTGCCAAAATGCACAGTCGCCAGAAACGCTCAAAAGTGACGTTGAAATGGTTTTATTTGAATTTTAATTAAGCTTGGTGGTCTATTCTTTGAAGTTAATCAATGCAATTTTACTAAAAATGGAAAAAGTTTGTTGGGCACCGGGATTTAAAAAAATAAACAGGTTCTTATTTTTGGCGCCATCTATTTTGATTTTTAACAAATACTGACTTATCTGGCCGCCTTCAACGACCGAGTTGAATCACCTCCTTCTTCCACCCTGGTCTATGATTCCTATATTAAGAGTCAATTGGCATACCTTTTTGGGTAACAGCAAACGAAACCGCTAAAAAATCGTTGCAGCGAAATCAAAATAAAATATTAAAGATTATGCACAAAATGGACAAATACATGCCTACAGAGCAACTTTATAAGATCACCAAACAGCTAAACATCAAAGAGCTTAGACAACTTAAACCCATAAATTAGTGCTCAAGATCATAACAAATAAGATACGGGATGAAGAAGTAACATTTAGAAAAAGAGTGGACACACATGAACATAATACAAGAGGACATGAACAAATAGACATAGAAAGAGCCAAAACAAAATATGGAGAAATGAAAATAAAACATCAAGGGTACAAACTATACAACAAATTACCAGAGAATATAAAAAACCTACCCGAGACGACTTTCAAAACCAACTTGAAAACTTTTATTTTGCACCAAAGAATATCTACTTAATATATTTACTCATTTATTATTTATCATATAAATCCAATATTATACATACTTATTTATTATATTATATTTATACTTATCCGATATTATCGCTACTGTGATATTTAGGATGTACTTTTTTTTAATTAAAAAAAAAAGTCGATTTTTTTTGGCCCAGTCTACTGTAGAATATCAAATATTACCTTTTATATGAAGCATTCCATCGTTTGAATCATTATCTGAGGACGTAGCATTATTACTTTCTGAACCTTGTTCAACTTTTTCATCTTTTTTGACATTTTCCACGGCTCCTGGGGTCACGACAGCGGGTTTAGAAATGCAGTTGGTCTGAATAAATAAACAAACCTAAATTAACAACACACAGAAAAAAATCATTTTCTTCATTGCTACCTTGATGTCGGAGTTGGGCGTCGGTGCCGGCAACATTGGTCGCGGTGTTGCCGCGCTCACTATTTGCTGCGCTTTCAGAGCGCCGAAGTTCTGAGGGTTGAGGAGTTGATCGCTACCGCACAGACCTCTAATTTGCAGGGCTTCCGCGCTTTTCAGTAGAGATGGGAGATCGTCTTGCGTCACGTTCACCTCGCCTTTGTACATGAAGTCCACTAAGGATTGCATCTCGGAAAATCTGCAACGAAAAAACATGACGTGATGGAGCCCCAAGTAGGGTTGGGACAGTTGAAATATTTAAATAAAAATTTCAACTTTGAAAGTTTCTAACTTGAAATATTTCATTTAGTTAATTTTCAATCCGAAAATTTCAATATTGCCTGTAAAAGTTTCAGAAATTTCATTGAAAGTTTCACAATTTACTGAAAATTTCGCATAAACTTCACATGCGGCCTCCCCTGGGACCTTTAATAATAATTTACAATAGATTCCGAATCGACCAATAAAAACGAGTTATCAAGCGTCTGGGCGTTTTTGTTTAGTTCGGCTTGGATTTGAATACACTATAAGTAATTATTGTTACTTATATGCATAAATTAATTTAAATAATTTAATTCAGTTACCAATTTAATTTGTAAATTAAATCAGATTTTTTTTAAAAGTCATGATTAATTTAAACTTTTACTTTTGCTTTAATTGCATCGAAAAACGGATAAAAAATGCCTTTGGCTCATAAAATTTTGATGAAGTTTCTTCAATTTTCGTAAAATCTCAGTAAAATATTTAAAAATAATAAATATATATAAATATAAAACAATGAAAGTGGCACAATCTCATTAGCTTACCAAAAAGTGCTATATCTCTTTTAGTAATTTTAAAAATATTTTAAAAGGAAATCTCAAGAAATTTGTGGTAAACATAGGTATTTACTATTTATATTATTGGTGCAAAGGCCCACAGAGGGTTAGGAGGTAAGAGAGGCAATTTGCCATGGTCCCCGAGTGGGCTTATTTCAATATTAATATATTACACTTAAAGTGATTGAAATTTATTGAAAGTTTCAATAAATTCCATAAATTTCATGAAATTTAGGAAATATAAATAAATTTCATAAATGTCATGAAAATTTCAAGTGAAATTTCAAGTACAAGCAAAAAGTGAAATTTTCCCAACCCTAGCCCCAAGTAACACATGTGACTCTTGGCCTTTACCTAAATATTATATCAAAGCTTTATCACACCCTTTGAGAAGATGTTTGGACTTATGGGGGTTATCACAAAGGTTAATTGTTCTTAGAACCTTATTACTTTAATAGAAAGCTTTATTAGACACAACAAAATCTACTTTTAAAACCGTAACGCCTATTACCTTTGAAAGTTTTATCTTTGCACGGTGGTCAAAACTTAAGTATAGGACGAAAAAAAATGCCAACCAAAACTGATAGCATATTTTGATTATAGACCCTTTTGGTAACATGTATTTATCAAAATCCCAGCTGATCCTATTTTAAAGTTTTGCAAACTTTTTTGTTTTTCTATTTCTTTATATTATTATGCAATTATTGTACTAAAACTACCTGTTCAATTTTAATAAAATTAAGCAAAATAATAAACTTTATATCATTTAAATTACTTTACTCCCCAGTATTAATTTATTGAGTCACCTATTATTTTTTACCACTCAAAACAAAACATAAAAAAAACGAAGATTTATATCTTAAATATTTTGTATAACAAAAAATACTGGAAGTTTGTCTATGAAACAATTACAACTTGCAAATTTTGTAAAACAATAATTAAGGTGGTTATGAAAAAAATTGCTATACGTTAAAACGCAAGTGACATTTTGCTTTAGTTGTTTATTTAATGTATACTTTATAAAGTTAAAAATAGTATTTTAAAATGAAAATTAAACCGAATTTCAAGATAAGCCATGAAGAAAATCGAAAGAAGGTATGTGCTGGCTGTGGAGACAAAATTGTTTTTGGTAATCGAAAAATTAAGAGTTTAGGGTTTCTGAGAAAATATAAAAATTACTACTTTTTCAAACGAACTTAAGTGATTCAAAATTACCTACTTCAATATGGTAAAAACGGTATTTTTGCATAGCCACAATTGCCAAATTTTCAAAATTTAGAAATTGCTAGAGAATTTCGCGGCAGCCAAGAATGTATGTGCTTTATCTGCAAAATGGCAAGATATAAAGGGCATAAAAAATTATTAAGGGAAGAGGACGGATGAACGAACTTAAGTTTTGATATGCTCTTCCTTTCTAGGGGATATCGCTAGATGTAAGAAGCATGTTTGTACAGAGACTGAAGAATTTAAAAATACTGTTTCTATGTTAAAAACAATTCCATGTAAAACCCAAGAAAAAGTTTTACTAAAAATTTAAGGCAAGCAGTAATCGGTTTTGCTTCAAAGAATCTTTAGTTATTTATTAGTTTTGTATTAGGTTCCTTAAAACAATAAATAAGATATTGCAAACTGTATTTTACATTATTTTGTATTTATAATGTAATTTATTCATATTTTAGTCATGTATCTGCCAAATTTTTAAAAACATTTGACAATGGTACTAGAGTATTTTATCGAAATGGCATAAACAATTTTAAAATACTAAGAAATATGCAAAACTTTAATAAAGGATCAGCTGGGATTTTGATAATTACATTTTTGTGTTACCAAAAGAGTCTATAATTAGATTATGCTATCAGTTTTGGTTGGCATTTTTGTTCGTCCTATACTTTAGTTTTGACCACCGTGTTTGCTTTATTATGGAATGTCATTTAAACCCTTATATAACCATATTTGGGACAAAATTCAGTAATGGGAAAAAACATGTCTGTAGCTCCAAAAAAAACTTAAATATGAAGTTTTGTGCAATTTACTTAATGAGATGTCTTCAATATTAACTGTATAGGGTGGGGGGTAAATTTTAAAAATATGTCCAAATATGTCCCCCCAAGTCCTCATTACTTCACCAAAATTTCACAAACAAATGACCTGTTTTCAAGATATTGTCTTATATTTTTAAATACTCACCCTGTAGAAATGTAAAAAAGTCATTGAAAATACATGCTTTTTAAATGGTAAAAATTCAAAATGAAAAAGGAATTACTTAAAATCAAAATTAAGGGCTCAAACTTTAAGGGATTTTTTTTTCTATGTCTTGAACAATATTTTCGAAATGCAAAAATGTTTAAAAAGAATACTGCTTACATGCTTAAGCTCACTTAACTACCATTTAGCTTTATGGGGGTGTCAGATTAGGAATTATGAAAGTTGTGACAACCTCATTAAAGCAATTATAATAAAACCTTTATGTTTTATTATCGATGCTGAAATAGGCCTCGAAGGCAATAGAAGGATTCTCCTTTTTAGTTCCAAGAAAGTCTTAAGCCTGTTGTAACAGCGTATTAAAGTACACATAGCTTTAAGGTGTAATTTTAAAAACAATAATAAAACCTAATGTGTTACTTGGGAGTGTTGCCTTTATTGGGCAACAAATCGTCACCCTAATATAACAAGGTTGTATGTTAAAAAACCGAAATAACTCTATATATATATGTATACATAGAATATACATTCTATAGAATTATTTTTAAGTGGTATGTGAAGCGTAGGCCACGTATAATCCTGTAGAAACAAAGACTAAAATTTTTCGTTTTTTTTAACATACAACCTTGTTATATAAGGGTGACGAAATCATGTACCCTTAAGGGGTCATACGGCGGCGAGTGTCATTAAGGGTACTTACTTCATGTCCTTCATGAAAATGATGGGATGCTGGCATGGATTGTCCAGAAGCAGTTTTTCGAAATACGTCGAACATGCGGAGAGCACCACTTTATGACACTTGAGCATCTCGTTTTCGCACGCCAATGTCACGTCGACGAAATGTTCGGAGGTCAACAATTTCGGAAAGGCATTTTGCAGGTTGGATTGGTAGGAGTTCCACCTGACGCAGAACTGCTGTGGGGGCGCGCCCGGCATTTTTTCCATCGTTACTTTTTCTCTCTCGACGAAATTTTTCGCTGACTAGATATCTGACATCGATAATGTGGAGGGTGTAGTATAAAAATAAAGTGTATATTTAGTCCAAAACCTGCAAAAACATTTTTTTATCTTTTATCTTCATATAGTCAATAGTAGGGTTGCAACTTTTCATGAAAAGTTGAAATTTTTGAAAAGTTGGGTTTTATTTTTCGGAAAAGTTCGGAAAAGTTGGAAAAGATGGAAAAGTTGAGTTTTTTGTAATGTAAACGTATAAAACATAAATAATGCTTGTCAATGTATTAAAATAATTTATTTCTTATGTATTTATACATACGTAACAAAATAACAAAAAAAAATTTCAAACAAAATAAAATGAATAGACAACATAATAACAACAAAAATAAACTAGGTTTGAATTTAAAAAATCATATTTCTTAAGTAAAAAAGAATAGAAATTTATACACACCATAAAAAAACATGAAGCAAAAATTATTAAATTTATTGTTAAAAATTATGGAAGTTTACAAGTAAAAATTTAAAAAGAAAAAGAAAAGAAAACTTTCTTCTTTTTCACTTTTATATTTTCACTTGCAAATTTCCATAATTAAAAAAAAATATATTTTTTTTCATACTGTGTATAAATTTAAAATACGTTATAATAAATGAATCTTTATATAAAAGAAAATGCTGTTAGCAGACACCATTTTTGATAAAGTTTGACAAAATGTTATTCCAAAAAACAATGCTTTTAGCATGTTTTACTAAAAACACTTCAAATCTAGCGATTTATATCGAATTTTGACCAAATTATCTACCAAAAAAAATTTATGGTAGTGGAAACACTAGTAATTTTTTCAACTTTTCCAACTTTTCATAGGGGGTGCCGAAGTTTTCCAACTTTTCCAACAAGTTTTCCAACTTTGTTTGCAATATACATAGGTATGGTATATAGGTAATTAGTAAAAAATTACAAAAAAATATTCCGCCAAGCAGTTTTTGGGTTGTTTAGTTAAAAATAAAAAACTCGTCTGAATATCACACATCTAAGATAGGTATGGAAACATGGTTGACAGATGCATTTTTTGACAGTGTGTTTAAAAAAATCATAAAAAATTAAAAATAAGAAATTAAAACTGTTTTATTTTTGAAACTTCATCAACAAATTTTTTTAATCATTTTATATATACTTTTAGTTCGTCATTTTCGGGTCATCCTGTATAAAATTATGTTTTTAAAGACGTCTAAAAAATATTTAATAATTATACTTTAAAATAATTAATTAGATATATTATAGTATATTATGTACCAAGTTTGATAAACGCCATTTTATACAGGAATTTAATTTAGGCGAGCGAGCTTGCGAGCGAGTGCTTAAATTAATGAGTGTATAGAAAAGTTTATAAACGAGGTGCATACTATACTTTTTCTACGACAATACTTCTTAAAATGATTTAAATCAAAAATTTGATAAGAGTGCCATCTATGAAACAATAGGGGAATCTGTGTGTCACCGTCAAATGTCACATTTTTACATTTTATAAACACAGATTATAAAGGCTATAAATCGAAATGTATTTCTTGAAAATTGACAGTTTTTCACAGTGAAAGTAAAGAAAATGTTTTATGAGCACTTTACAGTGGAGTCCATGCCCGAATTTAAGTTATAATTTACTGCCGGCGAAATTAAAAGGTCAAATATTGGCTTTGAGAAACTATTTAATACTTTTGTATTTTTGTATTAAGATAATAAAATAATTTTCACATTTAGTATTATTTTACAAGAAAGGCACTTTATTTTAACGATTGTATGACATTTGACAACTTTCAACTAACTTCAGCCCGTGACTAAAGCGCCATAAAGCCACAACTTGTCAATGTGTATTTAAAAGGTCACTTAGTGTCATGGAAACATGTACGATAAAGGGCGTTTTAAAGGTGGGAGTAGCAAAAGAATATATCGCTTAGATATGAATGTATAGATATAGACTGAACATTTCTGAAAAGATTTGATCAAAATATAATAAAAAGACATATATTTACAAAAAAATATATTAAAAAGATATATTAAAGAAGATATTGAAAAGATAACTAAAGGATATTAAAAAGATATATTCAAAAATATATTGGACATATATTTTCGAATAGACATTAAACAGGTGTATTAATTTTTTATTAATGCACTAGTATACTAGTGTGATGCAGGCCCGGATCTACAAATTTTCCAAGGGAGGCAAAGGTGCCGCCCCTATTTTATAGAGTTAAATCTGGGAAATGAAAAAGTGGAGTAAAACAATTTTATTTGCGTAGAAAATTACTATAAGTAGATATATCAATTGACAAAATTTAGGACTTATAGAAGAACGTATATAATTGTTAATTTATTTACTAAAACTTAATTAAATTGGTATAGAGATTTTAAATTTCCAGATAAACTGATTGCCCAAACAAAAGAATTAAAGTTTGGTACTTCAAATATTATTTACAAATTATTTTAATGAGAAAAGGCATTTCGTAGGTTTTAAAGTGTCAGAAAAAAAAACTGGAATAATTAGGAAAAAACTGTTTTTTCCGTTTTTTCCCAGGCCTTGAAAAAATTGTCTTTTTTGGGAAAAATTGTCTATTTTGGGAAAAATTGATTTTTTTTGGGAAATGAACAACTTAACTTTATTTTAATTTAAAAAAAATATCCTTACAGAAAAAAAACCTAAACATTAATTAATTAATTTAAGAAAATAAAGGTAAACGTTAAATATACTGTCAGTTTTTTCGCAAAAAGGAGTCCATTTAAAATATCCAAATATCCAATTAGGGGTGTATTATCTTTGGGTATACCTATAGGTATGTCAAATTTGACTTATTTATTTGTGAAGCAAAAAAATTGTATGATTTTAGAAAACTATACAAACATACATAATATGCATATACAATGTATATTATACATTTTATGTATACATAAAAAAATATAGTAACTATACCTACTATTATAGTAGTTATACATACTATAATTTTTTAATTTATAAAGGTGTGCCAAATTTTTTTGTGATTTTTTAAAATAAAAAGTTGAAATTTGTTAAAAATAAAACCTGTACCCTGTAGAATGTAATTTTTTGTAGGTATAACTATAGGTATGTCAAATTTGACTTAATTATTTGTGAAGCAAAAAAATTGTATGATTTTAGAAAACTATACATACCTACATACTTAATATGCATATACATTTTATGTATACATAAAAAATTATACTAAGTATACCTACTATTATAGTAGTTATACATACCTACTATAATTTTTTAATTTATAAAGGTGTACCAATTTTTTTTATGATTTTTTAAAATAAAAAGTTGAAATTTGTTAAAAATAAAAAAAGTTTTAAAGCTGTCATAAAAGACATCAGTCAAACATGTAAACCTCAGCTGCCTTAGCAACCATTTTTTAATGTGCAAGTATTCACAAATTAAAAAAAAATACATTGAACCAGTAATTTTATAAAAAATGGTTGGGTATTAGAATTTGTTTTAAATATTTTGGTTTAATTTTTTAACATTAAAAAACAATCTTCAGCCACTTGGTTCATTTTTATCAGATTTTAAAAACTAAAATATTTCTGAAATCGCCTTTTAAAAAGATGTTATGTGTACGTAAAATTGTCCATAGAGTTTTTAACTATTGCATATTTAATGCGAATTGTATTTTAGAAGGGTGTATGACCCTTTTAGTATAAACTTAATATAAGCACATGTGTCATTTTAATACTTTACAGTAGGGGTGTAATAATATAAAAGGGTTTAAATTTAGCTATTGATTTTCATAGTTTAAACAAAATGTGTTGTGAGTTAAAAATAGAAATATTTAGAAATACTTAAATTTTACACTACACTATGTGGGAGATGTTAATTAAAAATATTTATTTATATTATTTAAATTTTTATTTTTAGACTGGATTTAAGCTCAATAATTTTAAGTTAATTTAAATAATAATGCAAAAACGCTAAAATTAAATAATCAATAAGTATATTTTTAGAAAAAACTAAATATGCCAAAAAGTTTATTAAATAAATTGTTCTAAAAATACATTAAGACTAGGTAATGTTCTAAATAAAAAATACGTATAATAAATATTTAAAAATAACATTATTATTGAGAGAATTTAAAAATAAAAATTATATAATTTGCGCCAAAAAATCACTATACCGGCGATGGAAAATAAAAGAACATAACCTAGCTAAATTTGTGCCTAATTTTTGTATAAAAAAGGCAAAAATAATAATAATAAACAAAGTTCTAAAAATAGCAAAACAAGGGTACAAAAAATGACATGCTTTGACTAAATATTGAAAATTATTTATTAAAATGTCAATAAATATAGGAATAATAAATAAAAAGTAGCATAAAAGCTAAAAATCCAGCAAGCCAGCGTTAAATAAACAAATGCAAGCTCAACGGCCATATTGTAAACCCTTAAATAACACTACCTTTAATAATTGTGAATTTAACAATATTTTTACATTAACAAAGCCATCCCGCACCAAGATTTTACATAAACCACACAGTAAATACCTTATTTTAGCCGTATGAACACTTTTACACTTCAAAACCAAAGAAAAATGCTTTTATAAGATCAATAAAAACTTTAATGCAAAACTGAGTCTTAAATAATTATATTGCTTGGTTGTTTAAGCTAAGACACACGTCGTTGTTGTAAGTATGACGTTAGAAGCATCTAAGGCGCGAACGTACGTCCTTGCTTGGTTCGTTTATCTACAATATTTACAGTGAGAAACGCAGGGGGTGTAATATTTGATTTTAAAACATAAACAAGAGGATTTTGCTGTTTAAAAAGGTTTGATTGTGAGGTTTACTTACAGTTTTTTTGATTTAAAACGCACACAACACAGTTAAAATGTCCCGAACACTGAATTTTTGCGAAAATAAAATTATATTAACAAGTCTAAATATAATATTTATATTTAGACACCCGCCATTTGCAATTCGCCGGCGTTGTACACTCGCGTTAGCAAGTTTAAGGTAAAAAAGGACATAAACAACCCGAAATATAACTAAAAAAAACTTCAAAAACAACAACTAAATGCTTAAAATGTACAAAATTAGTTCACAAAACGTAGGTTTCATTCAACTTTGACTGTTTTGTGGTATTTTTAGAAGTTTGTTGCAAGCGTTTTTGGCGCAAAGTGTACTGTAAACAAATGCTGAAGGGCGGTAACTACGAATTAACATATTTTTAGGGAGTTTTTTTAGACACCCCACACAAAAATTTTATGCTCCATGTGATTAAATGATGCACAATTTGGCGTCTTTTTTCAATTTATATTGTTGTAATTTTTATTGTTTTTGCGTTTAGAATGTAAGGGATTTGTTGAGAGGGATTGTATATTGATTTTTGCATTAAAATTAAATTAAATACGGGTTGATTTGTTCTTGCGTTATTTCTGTGTTTGCGTATTGTAGGTATGCATTAAAAGGAATTGATTGTTAGTCATGGCAAACTGAGGGATGTTTCTTGAATCATTTGAAGTGATTAAAATTATTATTATTATTATTATTACATATTATTACTATTATTATCATATTTTTGAAATATTAATATTAGTACAATTTGTTTTTGTATAGGTACCTATGTATAGTTTGTAAAATAAATAGTTTTTTTTGGGTTAAAATGAAAAATGTTGACGTTTCTTGCCTTGACCTTGGGTTTTGCATGCAGGGTCGTACTACAAAAATTTTCAAGGTTAATTTTTATTTTTACTTAAAATTTTCATATATCTATAATTAGGTACTAGACCAGTGCAGAAGCCTTTAAAAATGGTAAAAAGAGAAAAAAAATTACAGTATGATGAAACCCATTGGAAAAGGAGGGGAATATAATAAAAATTAAAGGAAAAATAAATTACGGGCGATCTGACTTCGGGAAGTGGGAGGGGGGGGGGTTTAAGGGTAAAAAATGGTTTATCTCGATTTCCGGCAAAACTACAAGTCCTATGGAAAAAAGTTAAATGTCAAAGTTGTAGGTAATAAAAAGATCTACAACTTTTGTATTTACAATTTTTTCACATAACCTCAAAATTTATGTTAAAAATTCAAAAAAACCAAGTTTTTGGTTTTTTATTTTTATCTTTTTCAAAAAAAAAATTTTTTTCACGAAATTTGGTGAAAACTTACCTTTTTATGTCCCAAATACACTGTAATTTATTTGATTTGAAATATTTATTATTTCGCCTTATTTTGACTTAATATCAAAAAATCACCCTAATTTTCAATCAAAAATTCTCGTGTCAAAATATCAGCTTTTTTCAAAAAGTCGGTGTGCTTTTTGTTCGATGAACTCTCTACTTACTGATGGTGTAAAAAAAATATACATTACTATGGTAAATGTTCTCAGAAAATACAAATAATATTATAATGAATAACGTAATCAGAATGAAGTATCTAAATTCAATAGTATGATTTACATGTATTTTTATATTTTATGAGATTTTCTGACATACATGTTATTAGAATTTAATAAGTAAACTTTTTAACTAAAAAAAATTGCAACAATCCCATTTTTTTGATGAAATTGTACATAATGATTAAAATAAATTTTCGAATTCGAGTTTTTTTCGTTATTCATTATAATATTTTTTGCATTTTCTGAGAACATTTACCATAGTAATGTATATTTGTTTACACCATCAGAAAGTAGAGATTTCAACGAAAAAAAAGCACACCGACTTTTTGAAAAAAGCTGATATTTTGACGCGAGAATTTTCGATTGAAAATTAGTGTGCTTTTTTGATATTAAGTCAAAATAAGGCGAAATAATAAATATTTCAAATCAAATAAATTACAGTGTATTTGGGACATAAAAAGGTAAGTTTTCACCAAATTTCGTGGAAATTTTTTTTTTTTTTTTTTTTAAATAAAAATAAAAAACCAAAAACTTGGTTTTTTGAATTTTTCACATAAATTTTGAGGTTATGTAAAAAAATTGTAATTACAAAAGTTGTAGATCCTTTTATTACCTACAACTTTGCCATTTAACTTTTTTCCATAGGACTTGTAGTTTGCCGGAAATCGAGATAAACCATTTTTTTACCCTTAAACCCCCCCCCCCCTCCCACTTCCCGAAGTCAGATCGCCCGTAATTTATTTTTCCTTTCATTTTTATTATATTCTTCTCCTTTTCCAATGGGTTTCATCCTACTGTTATTTTTTTTGGTTTCAAAAATTATCGACCCTGGTCTATACCTATATAGAGCTAATAATTATTTTTGAAGATTTTATAGTAAAATTAGTCTAATTCAATTTTTAATTATAAATATATGTTGTTAGGTGAGTTATATATTTTTTAGATAAAATGACAAATGTATGCACTTGGCAAATTTTTTCGACCATTATTTTAATTTTAAACCATTTTTCGAATTTGTCCTACCATTTTTAAAATGTATTCCACTCTTCAACTTTGTCCCACCAATTTTTAATTTTATGCTACTGTGCGAAATTTTTTAGTATTAAACCACTGTACGAATTTGTCCCACCATTTTTTTTAAATTTATGCATCTGTGCGAATTTTTCCCCTACTACGTAGTGCAAGTGAAAAATATATTTTTGAACTTGCAAACTACAGGGCCGACTCCAGGACTCCAGGACCCGTGCAGCCTGTGTTCATACACGGGAGCGGAAAAAATAGAAGGGCAGCAAAAACGCGGAAAAAATAGTTTGTGATTACCCAACTTTTTTCTAATTTAACCGACCTTGTAGCTCTTTAAATAAAAAAGATAGGTACCCATACTTGCATTCTGTAAAAATAATTTTATATGTATTTAGTTTTCTTGTGTTGGTTTAGTTTAAATTTTAGCAATAGCTAAATGAGCACTACGAAGTATACTTTTATCCGAAATCGGCAGTAAAGTAGTCAAAAATCGGCAGTAAAGTAAAAGAAATCGGCAGTAAAGCTCCACTAATACGAGTATTGTATGCAACCAATAATATTAAAAAAAAGCACCGTCGCGGTGGTCGATTGGACCTTTTCCTAAAATGTTGTTTAATAAAAATAATAATTTAATTTTATTACTCAATTAGATTAAAAAATCGCCGCGACTGGCAAATATATCATAACCGTCGCAACAAACAGTATACGTAGACACCATAGAGAGTCTATGTAGACACTTCCTACATTCAAATGATTGATTTGATCATCAAATGACATTTGATTTGATAATCAATATTAATTATTAGTATTATTAAATGTGATTTCGGAAAAAATTTAATATGCACCTCGGCATTAAAGTCATTTTTTATCACTCACGTGGTTATTTGCCTCGGCTTTCGCCTCTGCAAATAATTTCCACATTCGTGATAAAAAATACGACTTTACTACCTTGATAGATAAATAACTATACCTATAGGTAATTGTTAAGAGGGCCGGCAAAATAACTTTTGCATGGGGCACCTAAATGTCTGTAGCCGGCCCTGCAGATTTGTATTCTGGACAAAAAACTAGTCTTATACATTTAATTTTGTTTTGTTCTACAATTAAATATATATATATATTTTAAAGATATTTTTTTTTATTATTATTTTTGAAATAACATTTGTAAAAATTAATTCCTATATAAATTTATAAATAAATAATTGGATTTTGCGTTAAAATATCAAATATACACTGAAAAAAATTTACGAAATTTTACACACATTTATTTCTATTTTTTTACTTAAGAAATGTGTTGTTCCATATAAAACATGTACACACATACTTACATAAGTAAAATAGCATCAATTTATGTATTTTTTTAAATTAATATGTAGTTTTTCATATTATTATGTAATAAATCTTTAAATTTATGTGCTTTTACAATTTTTAATGTACTTGTACTATTATTTGAAATTTTATTATTTCCATGAAAATTTACTTACACAATTCATGTAAATACCCATCTGATTTAAAATAAATTTTACAAAGTAATTGTCCTACGAGTATTTCATTGTATTGTATTACGATTATGTAATTTTACATTTTTGAGATTTACATGACCTTTGCATTTTTACACATTATATGTAGTTTTACAGTATGTTTGTACATATACATTTAAATACGTGGCATCAAAATAACCAACGATCAGATGTGTAAATTTACTAAATATTTTTTTGAGTGTAGACTTTTCTTGGTTTTGTTTGCAGGGCCGTACTACAAATATTTTTGAGGGTATTTTGTTATTTTTGTAGTTTTTTTTAAAGAATTAGTCAAAAGTAATTTTTAAATCGAAAATGTATAAACAAATTATTGATTTTGGCAAATATATTAAATTTCTTTTAAATATTCCGCAAAAAAAATAAAAAAAACTATTAAAAATATGTACTAAAATTTATTTTACCTTTTAAATGCCAACAAAACTATTATTTGAGAAAACATTTGCTATTAAATACATCTGTATACAATAATTCATTGTAATTTTGAAAAAAACACAATAATTTTTGCATTTAAATGACTATTTTTGTCTTCTATTTTAATAAAACAAATCTTTTCGTTTAATTTAAGTAAAAGCTTTTGTCTTAGTACTTAAAATACAGGGTAGTATATTTCAAAAAAGAAACTTAAAAACAAATAAAAAAATTAATTATGTATTAATTTTATAAGGTTTTAAACTTAAATTTTTTATTTTATTATTTTTAAGACATAAACAGAAATATAAATGGATACAAAATTATTTTTCAATAAATTTTCAAAAATACAGTTCCCACTGGTACTGTTGCTCATTTGTTTTAAAACTTAAAAAATTAAAAAAAAATCTTGAAATACCTACACTGCTGTGCTAACCTGAAAGGTCCTATATACAATATTTAGTAATATTGTTTTTAACAATAAAAATGATCTTTTGTCCTATATTACTAAATTTCATAATTATTATATTTATATATAAATATTTATGTATTATTAAAGTCGTTATTTTCATTGTGATTTTTCAGTTGATATAAAATTATTAAAACACAAAAAATATTTTTGGAAAAAATGATTTGTTATTAACAAAACATTATTTTGAAGTAAAATTCTTTTATTAAATAATATTTATTTTGGATATAATTTGACCTTGAATATGCATTTTTAACTGTTAAATAAATGATGACAGTATTGACCTTGGAAATGACATTCACGACCTTAAATAAATAATAATGTGAAAAAATTACCTTTGATATTATATATTTTTTCAATAAAAATAAAAAGAAAATTAAAAATGCAAAATCAGTTCTTATAAACTAAAAAATCCCTCAGATCTCCTAGCCAATTTGATGTAGCAAAATTCTGCAATACTGATCTTCCTCCTGAAAAATAAAACAAGTAAATTTCCAAAATTTCTTCATTCAAGAAAAAAACGTACTTCACATTCCTCCCTATTCAAAATGGAACTTCTGTATTTTGTAATAATATCCTTGAAGCTGTATTTTGGATCTTTTATTTCGTTTATGGCAGCTGGATTGTCTTCGGTTAAAGTCACTAGAAGTGACAACAAAAACTCATGACCCATGTTTCTTTCTTCATTTACGAGACTTATCAAAACTGGGAAGTATTCCAAAAATACCAGTCTGCCTAAAATGGTTTATTTTAAATTTCATATTTCACCCAAAAGTTTGTTCTGAAAAACCCCTTAAATTAAAGGATTAAGTACTTACTTTTTAAATCAGGCTGTGATTTACACAGGGCACTCAGTAGGAATGCCAACTTAACAATAATACGTTCTTCCTTGCTCTTCAGGGCCTTTAAAAACACATGAAGACCATTATGTGCAATCAATTCGTTAAACCCTTCATTGTTTTCTCTAACCAAACAGCTTATAGCGTAGATGGATTTAATTGAAACCTTCACATCATTGTCAGTGTCCAACAAAGCTATCAATTCAGGTAAAAATGCATTTTCCAGAATGATTTTCTGACAGGTTGGGTTGTTTTGTGTTAATAGAGCTATTAGTTCGCAACCCCCAGCCCTAATTTTGGAATTTTGTGATTGCAGACACGGTCTAAGGATCATAAGACCACCAATTTTATGGAAATCTAGAAAATAATGTGAATGAATATTATTTTAAATATGTTTTTAAAGTTATAATTTACCATTAGCAATATCTATATTGTCTATATATTCACATATATTTTCTATGGCCGTTAGATAGTCTTTTGGGTCATCATTAGCTTTCAACTCCCCTACATTCTTTAACACAGCAATTTGCTTTTGAAGAACTTCAACAACGTTAATGGTCATTGTTTTAAGTGCCTCTTCTAAGAATTTTTTACGCTAAAATTACAAATAATCCCAATAAATCAAAGAATAATTTTACAGAAATGTTATAAAGAAAAAATATATGGAATTTAATTCTACCAATAAACGTAATAACTAATTTTGTCGAAAAACTCATAAAACGTAACCTACTTCTTCGTCCATTGGTTTCAATTCAGAACTATGGGGTGCATCTTCATCTTTAGTAGCCTCCATGGCAAATCTAAGAAGCCCTTGGAGGCTTGTGGGTTGCCTTGGTTGAATAGTATCGTCAATAGAAGCCCCTTCCAAGTTTTCCTGAAGTTGTGCCGCCTCAGTTTCACCTTTTTTTACTCCTGGCATTTTTATGCTTTATTTATATCAAATATATACGAATATATACGTTATAAATAACTGGAACTTCGTATAAATCACTTAAAACAGTCAAAAACAAGTAATTACTGTTAAAAATATCGATGAAAAGTCAATTATTTTGACATGTGTAAACTTACATAGGTAACCTATGATAGGTTATAATCTCGAATGTTCTATATTAATTCAACCGTCTATTGTGCTTTGTCTATAGGAGAATGAATATGTGAAAAGTGTGCATAAAACGTTTGATGCAAATAATTTTGGTGCAAAGGCGTGCTTCAGGATTATTCACCTTTATTCGTTAATTAACTTCCACAATCCTTTTTTGAAAAAACTTAAATTAAATCTGTTGATTTTTAATACTTGGACAAAGGTTCTCTAAAGTAGTTAGTGGAAACATAACAGACATCTATTCAATTTTTTCTATGGTTTTAAATATTTTACCGCCATTATTGAAATTTTTTACAAATCGCTAAAGAAATGACCGAAAATCAAGTAAATATGGATATAAAAGTGATTTCCAATGATGATTTAAAGAAAATGAAGGATTTAAACATCAATTATGGTTACAAAAAAACACAATTTGGAGATATTTTTGTGGGTGTTTTAAGTGATGAAAAAAGGGTGTGTTTTATGGGTTTTTACGACAAAAAAGAAGCAGGTTTGGCGGAATTACAGAAAATATTCCCCAAAGCAATACTACAAGAAAATACTACACAAATAAGTGAAATAACCAAAGATATGTTTGAAGACGACAAAAACCTACCAATTCTCCTAAAAGGCACGGAATTCGAGGCAAACGTTTGGAAACAATTGATAAACCTTAAGAAAGGCTCCACTTATAGTTATGAGGATGTTGCCAAATCTCTGGGTAATCCAAAGGCTATAAGGGCTGTCGCTAGAGCTGTTGCCAAAAATAATATTTCCTATTTGGTGCCCTGTCACAGGGTTATCAGTAAATCAGGAGGGTTGAGTAAATACAAATGGGGGGCTGATAAAAAGTTGAAGATGTTAAAACAAGAAAATGCATTGTAATAATTTTTGTACTTAATTAATAAATATTTTTTTACCATTCCAAAATGTATTATGTAGGTGTGTTATAAATTAAAGAAAACATTCATATTTCATAAAGTTTTATTACTAAAATACCAATACATTATTAACCTATAACATATTGATCATAAATCGTAAAACAGTTTTTATTTATTATACTAATATTTAAGGGAAAAATTTGGTATTAAAAAAATATATTCCAAGCTAATTATCACAAATAATCTACAATCACCTTTATAGGACTCAATTATTAAAATATATAGTGAATTCAATCAGTGAAAAATTTTGAGTTTTAGTTTTGCCAATAACTGAAAAACTTAATGTGACAATTACACGATTTTTTAGTATGTTGGTAATCCTGGTTATATCTAAGTATATAGCAAGTTTCATTTGTCTGGCTGGATATACTATGTTGTCCATAACTTTAAAATTACTAAAGATTTAATTTTCAAATTTTAACTCAATATGAAACAAAGTATAACTTAAGTGCGTTTCAACTTTCACGTTAAAATGTCAATGTTTTAAAGCAAATTAAAATACCCAAAATTTTTCAGATTCTGAATACACTATAACTGGTATACAAAATCGCCAAAATGTCTTAATACGCCTAAAAATAATGTTTTAGTGCATTATGTAATAAATAAAACATAAAAATTACCTTTATAGGACTCAATTATTAAAATATATAGTGCATTTAATCACTGAAATATATTTAGTTTTAGTTTTGCCAATAACTGAAAAACTTGATGGGATAATTACACGAATTTTTAGTATGTTGGTAATACTGGTAATATTGAGGTATATAACGAATTTCATTTGTTTGGCTTTATTAGTTTTCAAGATATTTAACATATTGTCCATAACTTTAAAATTACTAAAGATATAACTTTAAAATTTAAACTAAATAATAAACAAAGTATAACTTAAGTACGTTTTAACTTTCACGTTAAAATTCCATTAAAAGTCAATGTTATAACGCAAATTAAAAAATCCAAAATTTTCCAGATTCTGAACACACTATAACCGGTATAATCGCCAAAACGTCTTAATACACGTAAAAAAAAGTTTTAGTGCTTTATGTGATAAATAAAACATAAAAAATCACCTTTATAGGACTCAATTATTAAAATATATGGTGCATTTAATCACTGAAATATCTTTATTTTTAGTTTTGCCAATAACTAAAAAACTTGATGGGATAATTGCACGAATTTTTAATATGTTGGTAATACTGGTAATATTGAAGTATATACCGAATTTCATTTGTCTGGCTTCATTAGTTTTCAAGCTATACTATATTTAACATTTTATCCATTACTTTAAAATTATTATAGATAAGACTTTAAAAATGGTAGCTCAATATTAAAAAAGTACAATTTAAGTACACTCCAAATTTCACGATAAAATTCCATAAAATGTCAAAGTTATAAAGCAAAATAAAAAACCTAAAATTTTCCAGATTCTGAACACACTATAACCGGTATACAAAATCGCTTAAGTCTTAAAATCGTAAAGAAATAATACAAAAACACACGTCATGAGATACATAATTATATGAGCAGAAATATATAAAATATAAAATTATAATACATACAAAAACGAATAAAGATATCTTTCTTCTTTTAAGTTAAATATTTGATATGCAGTTTTTAGTCCTAAGTCTATTATTGCTGTTGCTGCATTTTGGCTTGCATGACTGCTATCATTTCTTGCATGCGTTTCAGTTCGGCTTCTTTTTCTTGGAGGATTCTGTCCTTTTCAGTGTTCATGTTGTTGGATTTTTCAGTTTCGGAAATACTAGAAAAAATGTCACATGAGATATTTGTTAAGCTTTTTTATTTGTTGTTTCATATTGAAATCGCATTCCAGAGAGTTTTCACATATTTTAGACAGTTTTTGAGGTTTTAAGTGTTTGTGAGTTTTGTGTAATGTTTATACAGTATGTCCACCAGAGTGGGTTGAATAACCGCTTTTTTTAAATTAATTTGGTAAGAGCAAAAATATTAATCTTTGAGGTAAAAAGAAATTATAAGTATATGTGAAGGAATTTTTTTTTTAATAAAGCTTGTTAGAAAATTTAAACCAGCTGGTGTACAATAACTTGAAAAATTAGTAAGTGTTTTTATATAATATATTCAAATTATATTAAGTCAGTATATACATTTTGCTAATTTCCTTATTGTTGTTGCATAGTAGATATTTAAAAATTAAATTTAATTTTTATGCCAAACTGATTTATTGAATTTAAAATAATTATAAAGTTAACTTTTTCTTATATTTGTATTTTTTTGTTAAATTAAAAATATAATAGGAGACATTTTTAAATGCATTTAACATATTATAGGAGATATTTTTAATTCATTATAATTTTTATTTTTTTAAAATAAGCAGATATTTGTCATTGAATGTGACATTTTGGTAATTCAGATTGAAATTTTGGAGACCCCTGGTACTCCAAACCAACTCTGTCGCCAGATGGCGGCACAATCACTGGGATCTACGACGTACGTCGCACTAACCCAGCGTGTGCTGAACAAGGACAGTGCACGTTAGTTTGTTGTTGGAGTGGGTCGGTTTTTGTGGCGTTTAGAATAACAGGGATATCCAAACTCTCGATCTGTCGAAAATTCCGACTGATTGAGAGTTTGGATACCCCTGTTATTCTAAACTAGAGTTTTAAAGTGTCGGAAAAAAAACGGAAAAATTGGGGAAAAAACCTGTTTGTTCTGTTTTTTTCCCAGGCTTTGGAACAATTGTCTTTTTTTGGGAAAACCTGATTTTTTTTTAAATATACACATTTGAAAAAAGTGGCCATCAACAAGTTAACATTATTTTAAATTAAAAAAATACTTTATTACAAAAAAAAATAAAATTAAACAAATACTGTCTGTTGGTTTTTTTTGTTGCAAAAAGGAGACCATTAAAAATATCTAACTAACTAAGTGTTAAATAAAAGTTATGTTTATAAAGCACTGAATAGGTTTTTTTGCGACCCGGTACAATATTCTTACTGAATTAAAAAAAAATGAATAATTTTTAGAATTATAATATTTTATGATTATAATCAGCGTCGGAAATTCACTTTTTTCTCGATATCAGTGTACGGATACTATCCGTAAAAATTTGGAAATTTTCAAAAAAATTGACATTTGCATTTTTTCGTTTTACCCTTTGAATAAAATTTAAATTTAAAAAGTCAATTTTTTTGAAAATTTCCCAATTTTTCCGTTTTTTTTTTCGGAAATTTTAAAACCCTATTCTAAACGCCACAAAAACCGACCCGAAATTAAAAAAATCCCATTGAATTATCTGCTTATATGATAAATTAAAATTTTAATTGAATTAAAAATATCTCCTATATTTTTAATTTAGTTAATTCGCTATGTGTTTAGCAAAAAAATACATAAGAAGCAAATATTTTAAATTAACTAAATAAAATATCAGTTTGGTATAAAAATTAAATCTTATTTTTAAATTAAATTAAATTAGTTAACAAAAAATACAAATATAAGAAACATATTTTAAATTCACTAAATTAAAAATTAAATCTAATTTTAAAATACCTGCTATATTATTAATTCACAGAATAAAAATTCTTATGTGATATTTTTTATCTAATTAAAAATATCACTCTAGGGTTAACACATAAAATTAATTCCTACATAAAAAATTCTCGAAATTTTCGGCAAAATAACAAGGAATAGTCGGATTCTCCTAAAAATTCGTATATAGAGGTTTTTGGGGTCGCTGATAACAAATCTGGAATCAGAATTCCTAAATTCAAAATGTTGATCCAAAATGGCGGACATATTTGTCAAAAAATTGACGGAATAAATTAAAAATCACCATAAAGAGGTTTTTGGGGTCGCTAAAAACGAATCTGGAACCAGATTTCCAAAATTCAAAATGGTGGATCTCAAATGGCGGACATTTTTATCAAAAAATTGTCGAAATTAATTAAAAACCAGTAAGAGGTTCTTTTTAAAATCTAAATAAAACATCTTTTTATAAAATAGCTTAATTTAGTTTATTATAATTACATTTATATGATATTATTTAATATACCTGTCAACACAAATAACCACAATTCAAATTTGACATTAACACACTACAACGCGCATGCGGAGTTGTTTTAACGCACCTACAAGAGGTAG